ACACACACACACACACACACACACACACACACACACACACACACACATACATACATACACACAATCACTAGTGATTGTCCCAGTGCAGGCCATGAGGAGCCTGTCAGATTACAGGAGGGTAATTGAATGGTAAGGGAGCAGACAACACATCTAGCACAGCCGGACTCCAGAGGCGGCCGCCACCATACCAGAGCTCAGGGGAAATTCTGGGCCCACTTAATAGTGAATTGGAGATGGGACATTGCGTGTGTGTGTGTGGGTCTGGGTATGAGTTTGTGCGTGAGTGCTCGGTAGATGTGGGACAAAGGAAAGCATCAGTGGCAGCAGCAAAAATGGTCACTAAAAACCAGAAGGAGGTTGATTCGGGAAACTACCTGACGAGCGGAAGAAAAACACCTGGAAAAAATACAGAGGCATCACAAAGCAGAGAGAAGGGAGACAGAGAGAAAACACATGGAGGGAGATGAAGAGAGACTGAGAGAAAACACATGGAGGGAGATGCAGAGGGGAGAAAGATAAGGAAAAGGGGAAGAGGTGTGAGAAGGAAAATGAAATGCAGAGGCAGAAAATCATGACAGCGGGGGGAAAAGAGAGGCCTGGAGGGGAAAAGATAGCTAGGCAAGACATGAAGGTTGAAGGAGAGCTGCTATATGATGAGCCTGAGTGTCCATCTGCCAATGAGCATCTCTAACAGCAGAGGAAATTGACAAGTGGGGGAGTCAAAGAGTAGCACTGTGGAGCGCTACACGAGGAGAGGAAGACAAGTGACACATGAATTAAGTTTTTTTCAGTGGCACTTTAAGCAATGAACACTTGTTTTATTCCAATATGAATAGGGAGAGATGAGCATACATGACATGCACATACACGCACACATTTTCTGATATCGATTGAAAGATGTGGGTAGGTAGGTGTGTGTGTGTGTGTGTGTGATTGTGAGACAGGCAGTCCACTTCTGTTGAGAAGACGTGAGCCCAGCAACTGGGTAGAAACTAACAAGTAACTTCACTCCGGTGAGAAAAACAGAGTCGGGAGGATGTAGAGAAATGGATAGAAAGAGAGAAAATTGAGTGGGAGAGAGACATAACATCACAGAGAAAGAGAGCGGGAGGGCGAGAGAGAGACAGGGAAAATATAGGAGAAAAACAAGAAGGTCTGCTGGGTGTAAAGTTTCCCCTGGATATGATATGTGGATATGGGGATGTCATCAAGCCTGTGAAGTGGAAATAATAAAGAATTAGGATTGTCTCTGAAGACAGGGGAATTAATCCAAAATGAATTACGAAGGGGGGAGAGGAGGAGAGGAGGGAAAGAAAATCAACATCAGCTATTTCCTTTTCCTCTGCTTCGAGGCAGATAGGGGGCGGTTTGTGCGAGTACTGTGAATCCCATAAAAATTAAATTAATAACAAAGGGAAAAACACACACACACACAAGCAGAAGCGCAAAAAAATTAGTAGTACGGGGGTGGAGAGAGATAGTCGTACAGAGAGCAAGAATACAGATGGGAAAAAAAAGACAAGAGAGAGATTTGAGGGAACTGAGGGTGGGCACTGTTGCTGCCAGATTGCACTGCTCTTTTGTTCCCCCTCGTCTTTCTGGAAAGGGCTGCTGGTGTTAAAGAGGAGATGCCGCGGAGGCCATTGTAATAAATGCCACTTGTAAATTGCGGAGTGGAATTATACAGCGTGCAGATGGATCCATACGCCTGAGCAAAACGTGGCCAAAAAACCGGCAGCGATAATTAAGACTTAGGGGGTGAATGACAGAGCCATTTGTGACGACGGAATATGGCGTCTCCTAGCTCTCTGGGAAACAGAAGGGCTCGGAGAGGCTCGGTGTCACAAAACATTACCCACACAGCTGTTGGCTTTATGAGCAGCAATGTACTCCCTTCCTCCCTCCCTCTCCCTCTCTTCCAACTCTCTGTCTCTTCTCTCCCCCTCCAACACACACACACACACACACACACACACACACACACACACACACACACACCTGTCTCACCTTGGTCATTTTGCCACCACCAGCTATGCCATCCATCGCCACCCCCTTCTTTTGCGCCTCGCACCACCATCCTCGCCATCTCTGAGGGACTAGACAAGAACTTGTACTCCATCATTCATATCCAGGCAGAAGGAGGAGGAGGAGGCACTCGGCATGCACACAAATATAGAGTAACACCCGGGCTGAAAATTCAATAAAAGGCACCGACACTGACAGTGCTTGGTACTGTTTTGAATGGGAGTTGGGCTTACTGGAGCTCTGGGCTGACTGTAAAGTAGGAAAATCAAATTCTGTTGTTTTTCTTCTCCCTCTCTTTGTTAAAACACATTTTTGTATGCCATCCCTGTGCTCACAGTGTCCGCACAAGTCCTTGCATGCTACATTGCTTAAAAGGTTTAGGAATCATGTCTGTGCTTTGTTCATACTATTGCTCATTTCAAGCGTTTCAAACAAAAAAAGAAAAGAAACATTATTAGACACTGGTTCTGTTGTACTCCTGGGAATTTATCGCATCTCCTGCTCAACAAGTGCAACTGCCATGTACCTGAATACCTCTTTTGCTTTGTGTCACTGCATAAATTGTTGCTGTATCTCTGCCCAAACACATGATGACCTCCTGCACATTTATCCTACTTGGCGAGTAAAGTGATTCTGATTCTGATGTGTCCCCCAAACTCTGCCCTCTATAGTCTCCGTCTCTCTGTTAAGTCCATCTATCTCTCTGCCTGGCTGGCCAGCCTGTCTTCTCATGTCGTCTACCTCTTTGTCTCTGTCCCGGGGGCCTCCGCAGCGTGCAGAGTAGCCTGCGAAGTCTTAACTCAAACGAGACCCCTTCGCGCCCCGTTAAACCACCGACCTTCTCTGTCACTTCTGTCGCCCGCTGCTGCTGACGACGGGGGCCTGAGCTGCAAGCTAAGAGACCCCAAGCTCAATAAAAGTGTGGGTGATTAAACAACTCCCTGTAATTGCTCCTTTTGTGCAGAAATCAAACGGTCACACTTATTACTGAGGCAGGAGAGAAGGAGGTTGGGAGCAGCCGCTTCCGCCGAGGGCCAGACACCCTCAGTGACCTTCTGCCCTCCCGTCACTACTCCTTTATCTGACCAAACAACCACTGTGTCGTGTGTGTTTACCTGCATGTGTGTGCTCGTGCCCAGTGTGTGCGCCAGTGTGTGTTTGTTTGCGTTAAGTATGCAAAGAAGGCCGTTGAAACCAGGCAAAGTAGAATAACACCAGAGCTCCCCTCAGTGGTAGACGGTTGAACTATTCAACCGTCCACCAAGCCCCAGTTGGATCTAAGCAATGTGCAGTTGTGTGCCATCAGCCAGCTGGCTTTGGTAATGGGGGACAAAGCCAAACCAGGGGACCGTGTCCAACATGAGAGCCGGGTTTCAGAGATCATAGCAACACGTGAACCATACACATCATCTGGTAGTCACACACATATACACAGACATCAGTACAAGGGCCCAGCCACAGGGCCCTGTCAAATGGGTCAGCTTACAAAGGGAGGGGCCCAATTACCGTAGCCACAAATACACACATAAAGTGCCTTTCAAGGGCCCATGAGTGCTTCAGCTTCCCCATGATTATGCCCGCTCTCTACACACCCAGCACTTGTCATACACATACAGGGCCTCCTTTGCCAAAACAGCCATCAGACTTGACTTTTTTCAGCGGAGTACCGAGGAGACGTGTTCAGCTGGTTTGAAAGAGGAGAACTTTCTGTGATCAGAGAGAGAGAGAGAGAGAGAGAGAGAGCGAGAGAGAGAGAGAGAGAGATACAGAGCGGAAGGACAGAGTGAGCAACTGGCTGGTCAACTATTAGTGATCTGCTCTCTCTGAGGCTGCCGCATACCCTGTCATATTTAACCGCCAGAGATTGATTTGAGGGAATCAATGTAAACTTTAATGAATTTGTGATGCAATAAATCAATTAGATGTAGCTTTGACAAGCCTGTAGGTACTGCAGATATGTCAGTATATTGGTCTGTCCTGCACCACCGCCTCCAAAACGAAATCAATAAAACTTTTAAAGGAAAATCAGTTTGAATGGGGAAGTCATACTTCGGGACTGTAGTGTTGAGTTTCTTCCATTTACTTTTATTCTTTCTTTTAAGTTAGTTTAGGATGATGTGGTGTACAACTAATATAGCTATTTATCTTTCAGTGAGCTAGTATTGCTCAAGCCAATCTGATGCATAATATACATATTTACTCTGACACAATGTTGTTAAAGGTTAGTATACACTACTAGGATAAAAGAATAAAAGTTAATGGAAGAAACTCAACTACACACGCCTTATACAATTTACTTGGTGTGTGTATTAACAATGTATGTGGATATAGCAGGATGGGCATATTTTGTTTATTATTCATCCCATTTTCTTTCTTTGTCTTTCTTCAGGAGTAGCATTGAGGTATAGTGTGTTCACATGTGAGTCACATAGGAGATATCTTCCTATATGCAGGACATAATGGCTCAATGAACAGAAGTGCTGATTGCAGCCAATTGATTTGTCACCACATGAACTTAAAAGGAAATTTGAATCACCTGAAAAAAAGTCCACAGACTCTGAATTTACAAAGCATCATACTTCACCTATTATTGCATAAACCTTTTCAAGTAATTATACGTGTGAAAGTCGGATTAGATTTCATCAATATCCTTGAAATGAAATAAGAGAATTCAGCTGGTCCGTGTATGTGCTGGTGGAGTAATGGTGCCCCCTTCTGCCCAAAATGCTAACAGAAAGCTTTAGCCACAGAAGATAATTCTACGTTTAATGGTTACACATATTTTCCACAGAGACATCAAATAATAGGAGACTGTATGTAAAACTGTGCAAAATCAGGCTTTATTCTTTTTTTTTTTTCTGCATCGTCGCCTTTCATCATCATCATCATAATCACCATCATTGTCGTCAACATCATCTTTGAAAACATTACTCATCATTAGAGACAGCTAGAGAATAGATTCTCAAAGAGACTCGCAGCTCAAGCCTGTTGGCAAAAACAGCCATCAGCTATTAGCACAGTCCCGCAATGCAATGAGTAAGCTGTACATGTCCACTTCTTTCTGGGCAATACATTGCAACAATGTTCAATGTCCTGTTATACAATTTGCTCTCTCAGTGCCTCGAAGTCCATCCAGTGGTCAGAATCTTTAGTTCCAAGAGATACCGAAAGCCCATCTCAGTACAGACATGGTTAAGATGTTGGATATTACAGTCTTGCTGAGTCCATACATACTTTTTTAACCACTTTTCTTCCACTAAACATCTACTGCAGGTCTGAGGACAGTCCATTCTTCCAGTTTAGGCAAACGTTGAATAAGTGCAATGTCTAGTATAATGTCAAGAAAATACAAACCCACACATACATACATACAGTACATGACTAACTGATAAACTTGATTAGCTATACAAGGTTGCCATTCTCCAAGGAGAAACAATAGAGTTGCACACAAATGCCGATCTGTAACATCCAGTGTCCACCGGGAGCTCACCTGGACTGGAGACTGCCAGTAGATTGTTGGGTAAAATTGTCCATGATTCTGTACAGTGGCTTTTGGAAGTTGCGACTCCAATGGGAAGTATAGTCCATACACACAAAGATTCATTTTGAACGTAAAGAAAAGGTGATGACTACTTGAACAAAATGATGATGCGTGACAGATTGTGGTAGCTTTTTGAACATAGATCATAGGCAACAGATATAACATGTCCACAGATTACATCCACTGTTGGTTTTTTGTTTTTCTTTATGACCCTTGTTGTTCAGCCTGCCATGTCACATCCGTCCAGTTAAGATCAAAGTTGTCTCTGTCAATTCTTGTTTGTTTGCCACTTGGAGACTGTGAGGGGCTTGAAGGTGCATTACCAATGAGAACTGTCTTGATTCTGTAATGAAAATTGGACAGCTGGATTTTTACATTTGAAAATGTTATCAAAAACAAAGTGCCTATAGTGTACGTAACCACACCTCCCTTTATGGATTCTGGGATTGAACAAGGACAAAATGACAGAGTAGTGCTCACCCCTCAGATAACCATGTCACAGACCTTAATTCATGTCATTAGTCAAATAACACTATAAGAAAACAAACTTCTATGCATGTAAATCCATCAATTATTTGCCACAAAAGGGATTTTGTTTGGAATGATTCTTTTTTTTTTTTTTTTTTTAAACTACATTTTCGCAAATAGAAATGATGAATAGATATAATGAGTCCAAAGGATCAGTGATCAGTCAGTGCATTAAGAAAGGGGAATGCCCAGTCTAACCAGGATTGGACAGTATGTGTATGTGTGGAGAGCCAAAGCAGTGACTACTCACTTTTTTCTCCTGCTGTTAACTGAGAAAAACAGACTGACTTTAACCAGGTTAAATCTGAACATGTCATGTGTAACCACTTGGAGAAGAGGAACAAAGAAGGGCGAGGAAAATGACAGGACCAGAACAAAACAACTTTAGAGATAATGTGCTCAAGAGCTCCCACAGCCTTCAGTGTCAGGCCTGAGGTCAGCTCGCCCCAACATTCGCTGTCTGCCTGCCTGTGTGCCTTCGCCCAGAGAGACGTATGGAAAACCGCCATTAGCTGGAGTAGATCTGGGTCCCAATCACACGCATGATCTCCTTCTGCACCTTAGGCTCCTGGGTGTTGATGTTGGCATCTCCTACTTGGCCATCCTCATACCTGCACATATACATAGATGAGTAGACATAGGGTTTCTTTTCAACTTTTCATCAATAGCTGCCTTATGTTTTATCCCCTCTCTTGCTCACTACCTCGATGTTTCTACAAGAATACCTTTCTATACTGATGATAGAAAGGTTACCTTTCCATAGACTAATGAGCTGCTGTTGTCTAGGAAGCAAGTGAATTACAGTGGTTTTAGAAAAGGCACTGTTATGTCTGACACAACAAATCTTCCTGTTTTTATTCTAATCAGATCAACGTTTCCTCAAGCTGAAAAACACAATCATACGCTGAGCACAAGGTCAGAATTGAATTATATTTAGCTGAGATTTAAATTTGATTGCAGGCCATCGCGAATCTAATTTCCAACTCAGAAGACAGCAGTGGACATGATAATAGACTTTGCCATCTGGTGAATGCCTGTGTCCAAAGCCATAACATCAGCAGCCAGTGTGGATGTCATGTGTTATTTGCCGAGCTCCAAAACACAGTTTTAAACATCATACCGAAAGGCTGTGACTTGACAGGAACCCAGTTTAGTGAAGCGGTAACACCATTCAACCATCACTTATTCTCGGCTAATTTAAAATGATGATGAGTGATGAGGGAAAACGGCAGCAGATATCACAATTCTTCATTAAATCACCTTCATCAGGTGCGGCTTCGCAGTAAAAAATAAGCAGCCTGAGTGATCAACTATGCCTTTTAAGTGTGATGATTATTTTTTATTTTTGCTACCTGGTTGTGATGCCAACTACTTTGGTAATTATGCATTACTTATGTAGAAATGACCAAGGAGTTTCCAAGTGTTGGAAATACTTACACAAAAAAGAAGCGAGTACAGACGTGATCCGATACTGGACACACCCAAATGTTACCATGTTTCTGCAGATCCTTAGATGTGATAACTGTTGAAGAGAGAGAAGCACATTTTACCAGAGGTGGTGGTTTGTATTTTGTACTTTACTTTCTTGTTATTTATCAATATTAGCAGTGGTGTTGCTGTTGTATTTGGTGTTGTATTATATTATATTATACTACATAAGATGCTGTAGAGCTTAAGGGCTTCAACTCAGTTATTATCCAAACTGATGCACATTATTTCTTTTGTTTATCTGTAATAGTTTTATCCTATAATGATGATGATGATATTATAATAATTTATATGACCTTTTAACACATAAATACACTGGTCACATTACCTAGTTTAATTTAGATTGTAATGATCAAACCTGTGGTATTTTTTTTCTTGTTTTGCTTTTTTGTTGTAACTGTCCTCTATAGCTGCATATCGCGCTCAGCCTGTTCACTTTTTAGCAGTCAAAACAAATGCGCAGGCCTTCATTTAAATCCTTCTTATAACTATACACTGCTCAAATAATCTGTTTCAATGGGGGGGAATATGTCACAGTACAAAGCATAAAGATGCTCTAACTTCTGTTTCACTGGGACTTTAAATCAATATATTATTATACATTTTTAGTTTATTAATTAAATGTCATACAATCAAATATACTAATGCAACATATTTGCTATTATCTCCGCTCTGACATGTAATACCTCCTGCTTGTGATTACCTTCACACAGAGCGATGCAGTTCAGATTTCGACTCTGAAGAAACCTTGATTGTATCGGACGGCTCTATAGAAAAAAAGGAGACAACAGTTAAGTCCCACCAAGCTGCTAAAGTGAATACGACCTAACTATGCTGATGATGGCACACATGGAAACATTGAGAATTACAAACACTGAAACTGTACTGAGTGTAATAGTCAGAAGCAGGGCAGAGTGAATGTAGGAAACATTTGATGATTTGAACTCAGAATACAAAATATTCTAAAATAAGTTGAACAGCCCTCATCTGGTAATCCATGTTGATTTCTGTGAAGGCTTCAAATTGTTCCTCGTCTCTGCCCCTTTATTTGCATATCTTCTTTGTGTGTGATGGGAATCTGGATGTAAAATGTCCACCTGTGGTATGGTGTTCATGCGGTTGTAACGCTGCACCAGCTCATCTTTGGTGGGCATGCGGTGCTGTCCTTTCCCCATTCCTGCAAGAAGCAGCACACAGACAGCAAACAACCCTGAGTCAGAACGACCTCGAGTCACTCAAGCTGTCAAAAACCTTCCTCTAGTGGTCTTGAGCTCCTTGTACAGAGACATTATTACCCAGAGTTCTAACCTTCATATGAAGGTTGTTCCAAAATGCTACTGAATATTTGCTGCACACAAGCTGAGACAGAAAGTGACGCTGTTATCTTTTAATTTTTTTAAAACTGCAAAGTTCTAATAAAATATGAAATTATCTTAAGTATGTATTTATTGGCTTTAATTGAGCACGGACAGAGTAAGCCAAATGGATATGATGCGAGCAACTGTTGCTGTTTTTCTTGCCACCTTAACTGATAATAATTAATTCCACATCAATCCTTAAAACTGGGAAACCATTGCTTATGAGCTTGTTAATAGTGTTAACAGGTAAACAGGCAACCTGCAGATGTCATGTCCACATAATCTGCACCAGAACCATAGTGGGACCTCAAAACCAACCTCGGAGATTGTGTTTCAGCGAAAATTCACAGGGGGAAGTAAGGGAAGGACTAGTTAAGTTTAAATGTCTCTTCAGCCCCACCCCATGAACAGAACATAGTATAAAATACCAACACAGTACAAAGTAACACACACAGATCCACTGACAGCTCCCTTTTACTCAGCCACAACATAATGTATGGTATGGTATGCGGCACGGCACACAAGCCCAAGGCACAGCACCCAAAATGGACACAAAACACAGAGCAGCACAATATGATAGCATGGAAAGCTCCCACATGTGAAAATGACGTGTTCTGAGATGATAATCAGGCCATTTCAAAAACATAGAGCGTACTCAGTCAACATGGTGGAATCAAAGGTAGAGGGGTGGGTGGGGGGGCCGGAGGGGACTGAGTGGCGAGGAATGAGCCGTTCCTACCTGAGTATCCAAAAGATATGCTGGAGATGGGGCTCAGATAGATGCCCTTTCCATATGCTGCCCCATGCAGCTTGGGTTTGAAAAGAGCAGGAAGGAAGGAAGGGTCACTGAGCAGTTGCACAGGACAACCTCTTACATGCACGCACACACACACGAATGTACTCACACATACAGTGCAATACATACCAGTCTTACTCTAGTTGTATCTCAGGATGTATAAGCCAGTGATTTTTATGTTTCTGTTAGTCTACCTGGCAAACAACACCAACCAGGCATACTAAATACACACGCACACCCACATGCACACGACAATCCAAAGATAGTGGATTGCAAAGAGCCAAAGAGAGAAAAGATAGTTTTATTATTCTAGTGATCTGAAACAACTCGTATAACCCACACAGTCACACCTTTAAACTGCCAACATGTTTCCTCCTTGCAACATAATGTAGTCCAGAGAAGATCATGTGATGCTCTTGAGTTTAGTGAATGAAATTTGTGTATGTGATGCTCAGATATTCAAGCAATGCTGAAATGAGACTGTGTATGCTGGCTTGGTTTGAGTATGAGGACGACTGATAATGATGTTTAAGCCTCCACACAAGAATGTCCAGAATGAGGAAAACGAAAAGGACCACAGGTGTAACATGGACAAGTTTTCATAGGACACAGTGATCCAGAGGACAAACGAGAGGAAGAACAAAGAGCACCGTGATAGTTTGGGAATGAAATGTGAAGGAGATGGAGTTCGGGACTTGGCACATCTGGAAGAAATCAAAAGGAACAATAGACAAGAGGTTTTGTGTGATGGTTGGAGCTGGAGGCAGACTCGATCCTCCTCCTCTTGTGAGAGACAATGACTGAGGAAGGGGGGTGTCAATGCTCAAGGTGAAATGGAGAGGAGAAAGAGGAGGCAGACGAGCACTGAGGCGTGATCAAAGATAGAGTGTTCAAAAAGTTGGAGAACAAAGAAGGCATAAATGAAACACATCAGCATGATAGAGCAATCACGGCCGACGTGAATGTTTCAGAGATTCTTGAGTTTTCACATTTAAATGTTTTTCATCTATTTTCAGGACATGCCGGTGTATCTGCAAACAGTCATTATCTGCCGTATTGTGCAAATGAGACAATACTGCACTCTCTGGTGCTCGCTTCTTTTTAAATAATAATTGTGTATTATTATTTATTCATCTTATACAGACCTGGGTCACAAAGTGCAAAAACAACCTTGGCAAAACAATATAAAGATCCAGATGGATACAGACCTGAGTAAAAACCGGAATACACTCGGAAAGAAAAGTATGATTTTCTGCTTCTGCCTTGAAACTATATTTACGGTCCTCATTTGGTCAATTGGACCCATCTGGTATCAACTAATTTAAATGACCTGATTTGAGGCTGTTCTTTGACCCAAGAAGTGGTGCTAGTTACTGACCTTTGCGGGAAGCCACACCCACCGGAAGTCTATACTTACTACCATGGAGCTTGTCCTTTGCATCCTTCAGCTTCAGACCTAGCCTACTCAGTGCTCTAGGTGGTTAACCCCAACAGGGCACACAGGCAGCCTCCCAACATCACAGCTGACACCACAGCCCCCTCCCTTTGTCCCACAACAGGAAGAGACGTGCTGTCTGCTGCTGTCGACGACAGCAAAAAAAACAGCCGACATTGGCCAGGAAAATCTACCAGTGTGCCCCGCTCGCTAAAATGCCAATTGCAAAGCTGACGAAAGGGAAGCTGGCATCCATTAACTGCAAAAATGAATCAGCCGGACAGCGAACCTGCTCTGTCAGAGAGCAGGTTCACTGTCCGAGAGGAGATGCGTCGTAAATTGCAGCCAACTGCCAGGGTTACGTACCTGCAGTTTGGTATAAGAGGCATTGACTAGTCCATTTCTCAGAACAGAGTGCCAGTTCTCTATATGGGAACCACTAGAGCAAGTGTAGAGAGAGGGAGAGATAAGAAGGAAGAGATAAAAGTGCTGTGTGAATATAAACAGCGTGGATCTCAGTGTGCAACCACTGATGTGTAGTGGGCCAGATCCATGCTGTTCAAAATAACACTGGGGCACATTCTGTCTGTGACCTGTGATCCACAAAAAGGGATTAGCAAATTCACTATTATTTAATTTATTTTTATATTATTTACTGTGTTTGAAAATGTCATGAATTATTAATGAAAGAATGTGTTACATTACCTTTACAGTGTTGTTCTTTTTATCATTACATAAGTATTTTGTAAAAGAATACTTATTGAAGAGAGAAGTTTGAAGTTCTCTTCTGCCATCCACAAACAGCTTCTGTAGTCATCTATTTATACAATCTGTGCAGTGACATTCTGTTACATCATCATAGTATTCCAAATTTAATATAAAAAAAAAGATCTAAGATGACAACCCATCACTGCTGTCTTTCAGGACAGGACGGGATATTTGAATACCTTTCCCAGTGCAGGTATCTGGACTGTCTTACAACACAGAGAGCAGTGTCACGATTGCTGTAATTTTTAACTTTTTGAAGCAGTATCGAGTCCTTGTTCTCACAGTCTAATAACTAAACAGGGAAAAGTTATAGAGCTAAAAGTATTAGCTGTTTATGGATTCCCTTCTAAATCTTGCCAATTGTCATTAAACTGACTCTGAACGTGCATTTGTATTTTCAAATGTTTCTATTTATATGAAAAGATGGCAGCCACACTGACATACAAATTTGGCATTTCCTGCTCATCATTTGTTGTATTAACCAGCATAAAAAGAGAGACTGTTATCACTGCTCATGTGTTAGCTGTACCCGGCGAGAGCCCAGATGGGCCATGTGTATCTAAAATATTCAGCGAAGCCCCATCTGCTACAGTACAAATCTCGATCTCACAGATATTGCTGGCTCCACATGCTGGCTTAGCAAGGTGGTTTCTCTGTCCAATAGAATGGTCACTGCTCTCTGCTATTGTTTGTTATGGTTCCATAAAAAGCTGCTAGAGTGGCTCCCCCATCCGCAACCAGGTGTTACGCTGAGACATGTTCATGTTTGACAGTGTGTACTGTTGTTACGCTAAATTATGCATGCTTTTTAGTGACTATGCTTGATTTGAGATTCATTATGTAAAGTAAGTGATTTCTCACATTATATTTGCTCAACAGCCACAAGCTTAACAATGTAATAACTACAAACTGTTTTCTGATATTACACAGCCTAAATGATTTAAACTCTATAACTGTAGCTTTACACTCTATACGATTTTCGATTGTGTGAGCCAATGAGAGGAACAAAGTGGACTCACTGGAAGGCGAAGGTGCTGCCATATAGCTTCTTGGCAGTGCGAAAACGAGCCTCCTTGGCCGGGGGGCTGCTGAGCAGCAGGAACTGGTGGGAGGTGTGCATGAATTTCAGTTGCTATCACAATGAGATCATAAGGGGAAAGTGAGAGCAAGAGAGAGACAAACAGAGAGATAGAAAGTGAGTAAGAACCATTAAATGACATAATGTAGCAGTAATAAAAAAATAATTTAAAAAAGGACACTTGAGGGGATGTCGTTCTGGTTCCCTACCCTACTCAAAGGCAGCTTGACGATATGAGACCTGTTACTGGAAATAATCCTGCAAAAAGACAGAGAGAAGATCGCAACATAAATCAAATAAGGTGAAACACAATTTAAAGTACTAGCCAATGTGCTACCACTTTGCTTGAACCACAATAGGCCTTTTTCACAGCAGACATTTTGACTTGTCAAAAATAGTAAAACGCAGGTGTTAACAATGGTTCCGTTCTATTCAAGTGTTCCAGAAAGCCATGACAGTGTGACAATGAGCCAACATGGCACAAGAGCAGGACCACGAAACCAGCCAAATGGAATTCAGCCATCATTATTTACAGCTGTGCTTTTCCTGCTGTGAAATGTCAAAATGTTCTCCATGAGAAAGGCCTATAGGCATAAGCCTATACGTCTTATTGTGTTATCAATGATTATTTAACTAACATGGTATGTTTGATATGCTCTCTACTGTTAAGTAGTGCTGTATAAGTGAAATCATGTTAGATGTAAAGCAGAGCAAACCCCTTTTTAAAACAGATCCTCTACTCACCATTGTAGCAGAGGATGGGCCAAAGGGTCAAGCTTGTCCATCTGTTTCTTGATCTCTAGATATGAGCCCTGTAAAAAAGCACACAAGCATGTGTGGTTTTCAGTTTTCAGGATTGTTTCCCCGAAGCCAAATGAGCAAGTGTTTAGATCTAGACTTACTATGTGTTTTATACATAGTACAGATGCAGTCAAGCCACAGTGGGTAAATAAATAATAGAAACAAGAGTGGGGAAGATCAATAGAGAAGATAAACTAATCAGAAACAGCTGTCATTTTGATAAACAAAGACCCCACCCATACAGCTCAAACAGTCAAATAAATACAGGACTGTGTAATGTACATGTGGGGGACATAGAGTGATGATCTTATACAAAAAAAAACTTAGATTATGTCTTAAACATTATACATCAAGACCATCTGCAGCCTATATCAACTGTGGCCCTTTACTTCATTCCCTCCCATCTACTCCTTGTACCTGGGTCATTTCCCGAATGGACATGACGCTGTCCAATGCTTTCTGCAGTCTCTCATAATTCTTCTTCTGTGTTCATCGGTTGAGCCGAACATCCATTGTATGCAATGAGAAAGGGAACAACATACAGACATCTAAATTCACTTGTAGAAGTTTTTCATCCTATCCTATCCATTGATACCATCTTAAGCATTTCAGTTACATCGCGTCATTAGTTTCGTCTGTGGATAACTACAATGATATTTTCTAGTTTTGTGGTGAGAGCAGAAGTAGTTTTAATAGAGTCGGTTTGTTTTACAAATTGAAATTTGTGTATTGGTTTTGTAAGGATGCTGACCTTTGGGTTGAAGGCCAGAGTTTTAGGGTCATTGGGGTCAACGACTGATGGGTAGGGCTCAAAGATGATGCTCTTACGGGGCGACTCAAGAGCAGCTCTACACATAGCCACAAGTAGGTCCACCACCTGCAGAGAGAGGGATTTTAAATTTACATTTTATGCCTTTATGTGATGCTGTTATCGACTCGATACGACTGAAGAACCCACCTCAGTTCCAATAACGCATATAAACTTCAAATAATCACAAATTAACATCATCACATGTCCCAGTGTTTGATGTTTGTGTTTTGAGTTTCTTACATATATGTTCAGCCTTTCTTCTTAAAAAGAAATATAAATAATCAGGATTATATCATATACAATATCTGTTGTTTTGTTGTCACCTCTGCTCCAGTGGCCACTTCCTCTGCAGCTCCGGACATTACACCCAGAGTGTAGAAGGAGAAGACACACAGCTCCCTGGTGCACACAGCCGGCTATAAAAACACACACATGGACACAAAGAGGGATGAGAATACACAAATTTCAATGTGTACTACATATCTACACAAAAACAAGTACACTCATGCCCACTCGTATTGACACACACTCTTTATCTTTCTCACTCACAACTACAATTGTGGAAAATCCATTAACAGGATCGTATTACTAATAGAGAGAGAAAACATCACATACATGCTATTCATAACGTTTCTTTTTTTTTTAACCAATAGGGAAGGGTTTCTAAACCGATACTGCACATTTCTCTTTCTCGTCTCTGATACCTTCAGCATGGATCCATTCTGAAAGACGTGCTGTTCATCACACACCACGCAGTACTCGTTGAGCGTGGGGATCCTCTGCTCTGAGTACTTCATTATCTGTTTGGAGAAAAGCGGTGTTCCCAGTTATCACTCCCAAATGAAGAAGTGCCATATGAAGGAATAAGGACTAGTTTGGTGGCAGAATTGTCACAAACTACAATTTTGTACTGCAATCGTGACTGACTTAACCTGTTATTATGTCCTAGAACAACAATGCACTGTAGGCCCCACCCCATGCCACTGTCAGCAAGTCTAACCTGCACTAAGAAGCCATACTCCAAGGTAGGGATGTTCTTGCAGTGGCCGCCCGCCTGGGATGAGAAAAACAATTCAATCAGCTGCCTCGTGGTAATCTGCGCAGGGGCCCTGGCCGCCGGGACAGCCACAGTCTGATGAGTCAAGTGAAGACAAAGCATTATGGGAAACGGCGCACCAGCCATTTTACGGTAGGGGTAAGGAAAGGCTCAGGTGGGAACAGTGCAGGTGGCGGGTGACTGAGAAGAGGGTCCGAGTGAATCACAGTGGATTAAAAACAGAAATATACAGTGCCAAGAACATCATCATCATCAACATTTTGTAGTATTCTTGATGATTTTGAACTCCGTATCATAGCATCATGAGTTTCTACAGCAGCAATGTTACACATGTAAGGAGTGTAAAGCTTAGAGGGATGTGACAAAAACGCTATGATCACAACTTGACACGTGAGTGAGACAGATAAATAAGTGGGAGGACAGTGGCATTTAGTCAATTCATCATATTCAAATATAAACTGAAATGTATCTAACTCCAAATCTGAGAGATGCACGGGTGCTATAATGTCCAGACCGGAACTGACCTGGCTGTTTGGTGGATAGCTGAAAAGCTCCCCTTTGGGATTCTTCATGGTACACGAGATAGAGCGGTTCATCAGACGGGTCACTCTCAGCTCAGGGACGCTCAGCTTCCCTTTTAAAACTGTGTCTTGGATCAGAGGAAAACTCGGAGACCTAGAATATAGCAAGAAACAATTCATGTGCATCACTTCATCTGCCATTTTTCCCAGGAGGAAAAAAATGTTGTTGTTGTCCCTGTGTTTGTAGAAGTTACGTAATGGAGGGTTTGGCTTCAAAGGCCAAATCAGGAATTTCAGAACTTATCATTGTAATGTTGCTTTGAATAAATCTTAATTATCAATAATATCATTGGCAACATCTCCTGAGCTGTAATCCTGCATGGTAAGACTGCACTGTGATCACATAGTCAGTACCTGGGTTATTTTATAGTGACATGTGTTAAAGAAATACACACTGCACATGCTGCACTTGGAGTATTATACTATCTCTGACAAGTGAAATCTGTTTGGGCAGTAGCTCAAGTCACTAACTGTTAACATTCAAGAACCAGTGTTCACTTCCACCATCACTCTCAGTACATTATCCATGTACACTCTTGACGTGAGACTCCTGTCAAGTTGTGAGGATATCAAGACAGCCTATAGTTAGTGAGACTGACCTCCATCGAGTGGGCCGAGATTCAATCCCTGTGCACCAATAACTGTCAAAGCATTGAAAAGTAAGACAGAGGCCGAGAAGGGTACTTCCCCCCCTTGGGGAAATTGGTTGAGTGTGTCAAATTTGCAGTGTCAGAGATTCCTTTTCGCTGCTTGTCTTATTTGCTACAGTTCCTCTTTCACAGACACAACCTTCTTAAAGTATTTCCATCACTATCTTCCAACAGAAATCTTCAATCTTGGAAAAACAGCTTACTTGTATGCAAGTACATTTATTCATATTGCACATTTCTAATTCAGACGTCACAGGGTGCTTCACAAAAGAAGAAAGACAATCGATCCCTTTGAAACAGGATATTTCCTGGTAAAGACATCTCAAGAATGAGGTGTTAAGAATGTTTTGTGTCACTGCCTAGGTACAAAACAACTGAAATCTATTTGAAAGTGCACAGTATACTGTTGTAATTCTTTAGAATTAAAAGTCCATATGCAATAATTATTAATAATTTCTTAATGATAATTAACAACCATTTGTAAATGGATAAACTTAATCTAAAGCCTTCTATTATTTCCTAAACACCTTTACAACAACTGATAGAAATGTCTTATAAAGACTGCTTTCACTTGAGTTACAGTAATACCTACCTACTGTGGGGGAAAAACGCAATAACAAACCGCAGATGTTATGCCAAAATAACTTAAATATTTCTGTACTTGAGGTTAATTAATCTGGGCTCTTCTCCAGGAGTGATTGCAGACACTTGGAAACAGTGAAGTGTTCAGAAAATAAATCAGGACAATAACTAATAAGACTGTGTTTGTAGACAGTCAGCATCAAAACCAAGCGTCACAATATCAGTATAACAACTGAGCTCTATTGCTGGACTAGAAAGACATGCCGATTTTGCAATGAAATGAAAAACATCCAGTACATATCTGTAATATCATTGGCCTAAATTGTTGTTTGTTTATTTGAAAATGCTGTGTAGTATGCTGTATATGAAACATAGGCACGGGGCTGTAGTTGCCCTGATAGAGATATACAGTGGTAGAGAGACCTACTTGGGTATGGGGGAGAAGATGCTGAGCCCGGCGCGGAACTTCTTGATGGTTCCTCCGGCTTTGAACCAGCTGTGCCTCTTCTCCTGCTGGGCCTTGAGGAACTCATTACTGAGGTGCTTCCACTGCTGTGAGGTGAATGTACTCAGGATCCTGCCACGTTACAAATTAAGAGAGCCAAGCAGGAAGATATGTGAGTGAACCTGACAGAGTGAATTACTCTTTAAATCACCTTCTTTTTGTTGTTGATGTGCATTATTATTTTGTGTGATTGGATTAGGCAACCAACAATTGTTTTTTACTTCTGATGCTGCACATTTGGATATCCAAAATCTACTACAATTTCACTATGAAACATCTATGCTCAATATAATAGATCACATGACTCACTTTTTGAGCTGCAGGCCCAAGCTGAAGCCTTCTTTATTGGAGGGCTGGAACACTTCCACTGATGGCTCTGAGTAAAGATGACTAACACTATTACACAGTGCACAGATACACAGACTCTCTCTTTCACTCTCCCTCTTGTATAGCACATACCGTACTCACCTCCTACGCTCAATGAGTGGCACAAATACCTAAAGTCCCTCCCAGAAAACCAACATCCACACTGACATCTTTACTCACCAGGTCCATCGAGGTACTGAGAAAGAGAAAAGCGCAGTCTCAGAATAATGGGCTCTGTTCTGATAACTTTCCAAGCTGTCGCAACCTCCTCCTGAGTCAGACACACACACACATACACACATACACACAAATATACAGAGTTAGCATCCTAATTAGGGCCATTTCTCATTACATAAATAAATTATGAGCATGCAATGCATTATAAATGATGTGTTACTTTGCAAAATGTCAACGTTGGAATAGTAATGGGCAGGGGAGAAGGTGTGTGCAAGGGGAGAAGAATGCTGACTCACATCTAAGAAACTGATATTAATGTGAAGATCGATGTCCACGTCATCAATGGTTCCATACTCCCTATTCAGAGACACAACAACAGATACAGTTCATTTATCATACGTAATGGGATACATTAAACTCCAACACTTTCAACTGATTATCCCTTGAGGGAGAAAATAGGGTTGTTGTTTTTTCTATTTCTCCAGAAAATGCCTACTTAAAGGTTCTGGTCATCATGGAAGCGTAGCGCCCGCCCTCAGGTTCCCCCTTATGTAAACACTGTTAGCTTTGTCAGCACAGTTGCCGTCATTTGCACTGTTAGCACTCATAGCATCGTCAGATACGAGCCACCGGCTCAGTTGTGGCCATGTTGAGAGCCGTGTGGAGGCAATAGTAATGCTCTGAATTTTGTATTGAGCACTTTGAAAATGAATACATACAATCTTTGAATTGCGCCTGTGTGTAAGAGTGTGTGCTTCTGTGTGTCTGTGCTGTACCTAACAGAGACAGCACTGTCAGTGTAGATGTCTTTTACTGCCTCAATATCTGCATCCAGTTGAGGGTGGCGGTACAGGTCAGCAGCACAGCTCCCCTGTAACGAGCAGTATACAAAGCCCTCTCAGATGAATTCAAGTACCCTTGGGTGACACCACCCAGCATGTTCCAAATATGTTAATTTTTTTATTTCATTTAATGGACAATGTATATTGATCAACATCACTGTAAATGTGCCAGTGTTAGACAAAAGGATCATTTTATCATCTCACTTAGCCAGATGTTATATTAGCCATTAAAAACAACAATAAAACACACAACACATCAAATCTGAGCCGGAGAAAGCAAAACATGAACAGCTAATAAACAGAAGGAGCTAAGAAGGAGTAGCAAGTATCATGCAAAGTAGGATATATAAAATGCTATTAAAAAGGCAATTATTACTCAATGTTTGAAAGACAATCAAATCACATAACATTACAGAAGACAGTTAAAACCAGAAGGGACGCAATCGGACAAACAGACAAAAAGCCAAGTAAATGATAGCAGAGAAGGCAAGCATGCATGGACTAGGTATGATGGCCGGTCCAGTGGCTTTTTAGTCAAGTTTTCAGCATATATGTAAAGGAACAGTTAGAGTCGCTATGTCGTATATGAAACAGAACGGATGTTCAAAACTGTAAAAGCTGACTGGCGGAAAGATTTTCTTTCTCCTTGTGCCAATTATGTCCCTTTTTATTCTTGATCTAGTTAATCTATCCCCAACGTGTATCTGAAAGATGACTGTGGTAAATGGGGGAGGTGCTAATCTATTACGAATTTTTAATATCAAACAGGCTTTGTGAAATTTAATAAGATTTCCGTACCAAAGGAGACCATGATCATATCTTCACCATATGAAGTAACAGTATTGACAGCTTGTAGGTTTATTGTCCAGGACCTTGACAGCTTGTTTATATACAGATTGTGCGGGTTCAACATTTGAATTTAAAGATTATTTGAAACTGGATTAAGACAATTTAATATATAAAAGTGAATATTGTTACAATAATACTAAATTAATGTTTCTATTCGAACCATTCATCTATTCATTTTACTTCAATATCTGTCATAATTACCTAACTGTTTGAGCTGTTTAATCACTATTTTTAGCTAACTAGTTCAACCATTCATCAATTGTTTATATCTAAATATTGCAACGCTTTATCCATTACTTTTAGCTGTCTATTTAAACCATTATCTATTATAATTACCTAAATATTACTATATATTTTTTACTATATTAACTATTTAGCCATTGCTTTTAGCTATCTGTTCAGACCTCGCTGTTCACTTGATAACTAGTTTTTAACCCTTTTAAAACATGTTTCTAATCAAATCAATTACTTTTTGTTATTAAATCAGCTGAGCTACTCAATCTGTCACCTCCTCAACCACACACCAAACCATTTACTAACTCGATCCAACATCAAGCGCATTTTATATTGGCAATAAAGTAGAGAGTTATGTAATGTAACATTAAAGAGGAAAGAACAAAGTATTTCGTTAAGGAAAGAATTCGTACATTTCTTAAACTGTTGACACATACATTTTGGCTTTTTTCAGTCATTATTTTACATCCCGTCATTTAATACTTTGGTATCCTCCATTAATAGCATTTATTGACCTCATACGCGTTCCTGGTGTCTAGACTTGAAGTCAGACTCTGTTCTCCTCAGCTCTCCTCTGTGTGTAGAACAGATCCTACTCTTTCATCCTTATCTTTATACGCTGCTTTCATGTTCTCTGACTGCATAGAAATGAGCTTTAAATCCCAGACTGGATTTACATTTCAATCATAGGACTTGGAAGATAACAGTAAAAAAGGATGACTAACAAATTAAGATCTTATATGGAAGTGAAGCATTGAACTTCTCGAGATGAGATGATACATGAAATAAGGGCCACGAAAATGATTTTGACAGTGTTGCCTGGGATTGATACTTAAGGTGACATAGGGTGATAGTAACTGTACTGTACTTTCAAGGTAAATGTCATGTTTGCTATTATCAGTTTGCAAAAAGACAAAAGCTCAGAGCATTGTTAAACATTGATCACTTACATTCTAACTGAATATCCTACTTCAGATTTATTTAAATGTTTGCCCTGCCAGCAGTGAGGCATTAAGATAGAAACGTCAGCAAGTCCATCTGTTCTGCACTACTACAGCAAAATATCTCAACAACTATTCACCACATTGCCATGACATTTGGTCAGAATATCCACAATCCTCAAAAGAATGACTCCAAATGACACCTGATTTATTGTCTGGTGCCAAGATCAGGTGAAAATCTACCTCGACCAAAACCTAGGTCTCTGGCAATATCCTGAAAACTAGTGGCTGTTATTCTGTGACACTTGCAGTAGTTATTCATGGTTAAATGGTCCAATTAGTATATTACAGCAGTAGAATTTGTCATGAACACATCCAGTAGTTCTTTTACAGTTGCTGGTAAATACAATTATAATAATTTGCGAAACAAAACAACAACTATTTTTTAACTACCTGGGATTATTGTAATGTGAAAGTAAAAAAGAGGATAAAGTGCTTAACAAGCACCATTATTGACAAATAGCAGATTAAACACATAGATTAATATAGTAAGGGTAATACGGTTGCCATTGCTGTACCTGAATGCCATACAGGAACTGTTCTGATTCGTTCTCCCCGTCCGACTCCTCGTCTGTCCAACACTGGCCTTTGATGTCCTGTGGGCCCACACATTTTGAAAAGGCCGTTATAGTGGAGCGGAAAGAAAATGCAACCTCTCTCCATCATCCTTTCATCTCACATCCTTTCTCACATCTCCCTATTTAGCCTCTTGTTCAAAACACCCAGCTTCAAAACACTGCTTTATATAGAATTTCAAAGAGAGAGACGGAGAGGCGCGATTTATTTCCAAAAGACAGGAAGAATTCAAAGTTCAAAAGAATACTCAAATAACAATCAATGATGAGTTGATAAAAATCGCTTCTTATCGCAAAATAACCATGTCTCGTGTCATTTCCAGCAAAGCCTGAAGCCCAGAGACTCTGTTGCACAAACCTACAGTCTGTACTTCTTTGAGTAGCCACAGCAATGTCATTTAATTTAATTTACCACTTTAATAATCTTAAACAAACCATGAATGAATGACACAGCTCAATCGTATGCATTGATTAATACACCAATAGAATCCTAGCTGTCTTACCATTGGTTCTGCTGTTCATAAGGCTCACTCAGACAGGTTTAGGCCTTTGAATACTGCCAACCATTGCAGCCTTTTTCCAGGTGGCAGAACAAGAACAGAAAACCGGAGAGCTTTGGCTCACCCCCCTCTCTTTCTTGCACTCGTCAGAACTGCAAAACCTAGGAGAAATAGAAATTAAAATTCAGTAATGGACGAAAACATGAAACAAAGAGGCCATCACCAGTGATGCCATGCTTTGTAAATGGTGCCCTCCTCCTCTTTTCTTTAAATGGTCTGCACTTCACCTTGCCATGTATCCTAGCAACAGCCATCTCTGCCTCCTTTCAGAGTGGCATTAATCACTGTGGAGAGAATGTGTGGGAGATATGTGCTGTACGTTCATTACCCAGGATGTATCCATGTCTTTGTTTTGGTTTTGTTTCAGGATCTTCATCTATTATTACCAAGGCTCCAGAGGTTGGCACACCTTTGAATTATGTCAGTACATCGTTAGACTGACGTTGTTGGTCTTGGCAAATTAATGAAAAGAAAATCGTTGAAGCACAATGTACGGTAACTTGATGTGTTAGCATAAGGAGAGTCAATTGTGGGCACACCGTGTTGACTAAAAAAATCAAAGTCGTTTCTTAAGAATTTAGCATTATAAAATAATGGTTGCCTTTAAATGAATAGTTACCGTACGTGATGGGAAAAAAAGATAAAGAAATTTTATTCCAGATTTAGAGAGAAGAGTATCTGTGAGGATAAACGACGTCGCTGATGTAACAGAGGCAGCTACAGCACACTGCAGTTCATGGCGGCCCATCGCATTTTGTGCCAGACATGTAAACAATGAGCGTGGTGTCCGTTCAACATGGCTTAAAGCTGCAGATGCAGAGTTGCATATTTCACACCGCAGCATCAAAATACAAATTACAATTTACATAGTCTGGGGCCCGTCAAGCCAAAATGATAAAGAATTTTGAATATTTATCAGCTCTAAATCCTGAGACATGTGCAAACAAAGACTGGATAGTAATGTAGCTTGGCACTACTCTGCATCTTTGCTATATATAGGTCAATATAATGAAATGAACACCAATTATTCATTTCTTCTTTGTTTGCTGGACTAACAAAGGACACTAAGCTCATCTGTCCCTCAGATTGGGCTATCATCTATGCAAAACTATCATGATACTGTGTTTTTCTCTTCCTGGTTGTGGATATCTGTCCTTTTTTTCAGGTTACGGTTTGGCTCCTTCTTTGTCTAAAACACCCTTCCAGACATCAACTGCATCCTATTAAATGAATCCCCTGTTGTTACCATCTTCCACTTCAGCTCCTCTCCTTGTCTCTCTATGTCTGCTGCCCTGCCATGTCCTCAACCCTGCTAGCATCTACACCCCTCCACCGCCCACACTCCCCGTCATTCTCATAGCCTATGTCGTCTCACATACCAATAGTTGCGGACGAACTGCACCCCCCCCCCCCCACACACACACACTCCCCCACCCCACACACACATCTACCGCCATCGTCCCCGTTCCACTTTCAGATGATATTTAACACAAACACAGATGCAGTCAGGCGGATTTTCCCCTCCCCCCACTCTCTGCACCCCCACCCCATCCATCCACACTTACCTCCACAGAGGATGGAGACTCGGATGCCGTCCTTGCCTCAGCTGCTCTCCCTCTTAAAGGGCACACCTGCTTCTCGCTCTCTCGGTGGCTGTATTCCACTGAAACGATATGACAGTAAGCCCATTAAAAGAGGATTTTAGAGAAACCAGAGACACAATTCCCCAATTCTACAGCGTCTGTCTCTCTGTGCTTGTGGTGTGTGTCTGCGTGTAATCCAGCCGGTGTGTGTGTGAGCCTGTGTTTATCTATTGCAGATCTCTGCCGCTACTGCTGTCTTATATTTTGCCTGACAACACTGAGGGGTCTGAGCATGCTCAGTGAGACCAGGCAAGCCAGTCATGTGACCTGCAGCTGACTGCACTGCTGCTGAAAAATGTCTGCTTGTATATATGCATCTGCCTGTGTTTGCGCGTGTGATTGCATAAGTCAGTGTCTATTACTGTGCAATCATGCTTTAGAGGTAGCTTCTGGTTGATATTCAAAAGCTTTCGTGTCTTAAAATAAGGAATACACATTTAAAAAAGAAACCCTAAATATCCTTACTGCTATATTTGTGCTTTACATTTCAGCTACACTGCATGCTATACAGATGAAGAAATGAAGGCTAAATTAATTGATATTCAGTAACATCTTCAAAAAATTATATAACATTACAAAAAAAGATCATATCTTCTGTATCTATGAAAGACCTTGTCATTGTGTGCATGTGTGAGACAATGTTAACTCAAGGTATCTATTTAAGAACTGGCCTAAAGAGTGAACAGGTTTTAGGCCAGTCTGATCAGTGTGTGGCTGTACTCAGGAGAGGAAGAGAAAATGATGATCTCTTCGTACATTTTATGTGGCATACAATGAGGCAAACTAGAGTGCACGGGCCCTAATGGCACGATATAAGTGTGGGAAACAGTTTGACATCATGCCATAGTTGCTTTGTCAACCACAGCTATGCTGCCTGGTACTTCTTGTACATGAATGTGTGTTCCAGGTCAATGAAGAGTTCACTTTAGTAGTAGCCCCAGAACAATTCACCATCTCCCACCTATAGTGCAACTGTCCTTCACTGTACATCAACACTACAGTCAGTACATTTTGTTTCTGGAAGAAGGTGAAAGTGCAGCAATTAAATGTTGCAGTCTACTTTTCAGCAGGCCAAATATTTTTTTTCCATTTTCAGCCCATTCGGATCACCAAAAATGTAATCATAAATTGGTTCCCATTAGTGCTATTTCACATTTTTTGTTTTTCTGTTTTTCTTTATCGTATTATGATCAATGTAATCAAAATGTTATTTTACTGTACTATTTTAGGTTTTCTATGTGTGACTTAATGAAGTTGTGCTTATTTCATAATTTGTTTTGATTGATTCCCCCTTTATATTGTTATATTGACGTACTCATAGGCATCAGTTGCACTTGCTCATGCAGTAATAATACACAACTAAGCATTAGGACGGCCAATCTGCTCATCTCTGAGATTTATCTGAGCATATTCCCACATTGTCTTACTGTACCTCGTGGCCCAGGGGTTAGCAGCCATTAATACTGACTGACAGCCAGGAGCTTGGCCAGTGGACGGGGTGACTGGATGGCAGATATGTCCCTCACTTGGACAGGTGTGTCCATTGGCCTCAGGTAGTGGAGAGGAGTGGATCCAGCCAGTGAGACAGAAACATGGGCAGTGGAAACAGCAGTGCTAACACAACCACAGCTGTGAACAGGTGAGAACAAAAAGGGACACTGGGGGAGGAGACGTGGACTCAGTGAAGAATGCACACTTAGAATAGGACACAGGGAGTCAAGAAAAAAACAAATTAACATTAGCATTGGTGCTTTGTGTTTCTGTGAGTAAATAGTACATTGAAGAGTATCTTTGCCGGATTGATTTCTCTAATCTCCGTTGCTAAATTTGAAGTTTAGATTTGAACCACACTATAGTGGAGATATAGTTGACAGTTGTGTTTGTGTCAAGGTTTTAGGTTTTGGCTGCCATCTTGTTGGCAGAGCTGAATATTACAACATCAGAATAAATCGTCCTGGGGAACATTTAGCTGTCTAGTGTCTTCCCTGGATAAACAACCAATATTTCTTTATTTACTGTCGACCATTGATATACCACAGCTGATTAGCAAAGGGATGGCATTACATCATGTCGTAAAAACGTATAGCTGTGTACCTGCACCGTGTACCTCTAACAAGGTTTCTCAGGCTTTTTGTATTCTCTGTGAAAAATCATAGTAGGAGTAGTAGCATAATACTGTTAGTGATAGATTTATTTCTATAGTGTGTAATGTTATAGCAATATTAATCGTGTACTTAAAATATGCAATTTTTGAATATGTAGTTAAAATGTACAATAAATTAAATATATGGTAAATAATAATAATACAAATAACAACAATACTTTTTCCACAATACTCAATTGGAAGTAAATAAACATAAATGTACATAAATGCATACATATCATTGAAAAAAACATGTAAAAACTGTAATATTATGTTTCATCACTAGATGGAAGTATTGCCTCAAACACTGTACAGCAGCAAGGTGTCTGGGTCTGATTATTGCATCAGATTTTAGAAAATGAATAGAAGGGTGTTAACAATAGTGTGGTATCTTACAAGACAGTTACCGTACTGCATCATGTTTGATCATTTCTGTAGCCGATGATTTGCACATCCGTAGGATAATGGATTTAAAAACATACACACCTGACAATTTACTAATTTGAATCTCTAAAAGGGCCATTAAACTGGGAAGGTATATAAAAACTATTGTAACCAAAACACTGCTTTTCTTCTGAAGAGTAGAGCACGCCATCCGCTGCCACATGTCGGAGTCATGGGCCGGACTCATGCTCTACTGATGCATTCAAGCGCTGCGATTGGCTCCTTAACTTTACAAAGCACTTCCATCGTGTACCGTATCAACGTATCACTCCGCGTCGTTTTTTAGTTTTTTTTACCATTTCACGACTTGCCATAAGACTAATAGTAAAATAAAACACATGTTTGACTGGATTCTGATGACTGCGGTAAGTATAAATAGGTCTAGATTTTGTTTTCTTTTTTCATATATCTTTATTCTGGCGGATGGATATGTCTCAGCATCCCTATAAAGTAGTTCCGCAGTGTGAGGGACTAAGAAGATCACCTTGAGCTAGCTTCAGTGTGCTCACATCCTTTCAAGCATTTGTTCAGCGAGATAAGGTGGGTATCCTCGACATGGGCTGCAACTTGTTCGCTCATCGATCCTATGAAGTTATCTGATAACGTGTGTGACACTTGCACTGTCACATAACGTGCCTTCTAAACCGCTTTGTCTTTATTATATCTGTAGCTACATCCTGCGAGGTGGTAAGTCCATGATTGTATGAGTCGGTCACTGGTAGCTTGCTTAGTACCCTTAACTATCTAACTATGCGAATACTCCTGGACTTGTGTAATTAGCGTAACGTTAGATAGGCCATTTTTTAGTCCCGCTGTGCTGGTTTGGTATTCGTGTAACAACGTTGTGATTTTAATATGCAGCTAATAGATGGATAAACTGAGGGAATGTGTCCATTCGTGGAGCATATCTTTCTGTAACGAACTTACAAACACGCTATGTTCTTGTGGTATGCTTAAACACGGTTATTGCATCCAAATCGGTTAAATTAAATGTGATGCGTAAAGTGTTGAACGTTGGAGAATCGCTTCCTGTTGTGGGTGTGGTTGCTTCGTCTTCTCGGCCTCCCATTGGTCAGTCTCTGTGATGTCGCTCTGGATCAGGAAAAAGTGACGCAGGAGGAGAACGTGACCTTTAGCGCATCGATTTGACTGCAGCGTATACAAGAAACGTTATAATATAATACATAACTGATGTATGTATATATGTAACTAGTGACACAAATGCACCAGAGCTAAAACTCCCCTGCTTTGTTAAATGTCGTGCGTTGTCGTCGTATTCATGCATGTGGCAGTTAGTCAGGAGATGCATTTGAAAATCCTTTTTATACATCAATATTTATTATTTCCCAAGAAACATTTAAAATAATCTCGTTATGCTGTAGAAAATAACCATCGTATAATAAATGTAGTTTGAAATATGTACGTTGCCTGAGCATCTTCACTGCAGTGGCTTATTGCAGTGGTGCCACTGAGAACAGGACTTGTTGACAGTAAATACATCGACAGAATGGCACGTCTAATCCTATCTGTCTGGGTTGTTAGTTGTGGCTTTGGGCTCTCTGATAGCTGTGTTGTCCTTTTGGTAAGAAGAAAAGATGATTTGACCAAGGCAGGGCTTTTTCTATAGATCCATTTTTAATATTAATGTCATATCCTTTGTCAAATACATCTCCTGTGACTTTGGAAGGATTTGCATTGGTCCTCTGGTATAGCCTGCGTGTGCTGTGTTCTGTTGTGAGAAGTAATTATTTGGCAACCTGGCGACACTGTCTTTACTGTGTCCTTCCTGGCCCTGTTGACAAAATGGAGTCTTTATCCCAGTGGCCCAGTCAGGTTATAATGTCAAGTGACCAGGAATCCTGTTAAAGTTAAGAGCTCAACAGAAGGAAGTGCTCAGTGTCTGCCTCACCTAAATATCAGTTGACTTTTTTTTTAAACAATTTGCCCATGTGGTCTAAAGTCACATTTGTCATAAATATATCTTTAGTAAATTCACCGTTACTTAACAAATCCCATCGCGCCGAAGAGTCTAAAAGTCCAGACTTCTTCTTTCACTGCTGGTGAAATAAACAAAAGCATGCGAGTTTATACTGTTAAAATGTAGCTTTAGCTGTTGCTATTTTTCTACTTTAAGAAGCATGTTGGCAGGTAACGATCCATTTGCAAAGATGATTATGAATTGTGATGTCTGCCATCTACTGCAGTTAATGGATGGCTGAACTGTCAATTGTCCTTGACCCCCTGTCGTGGTAAAGTAGTCCAGTTGCAGCTGAGCCGGTGGTCAGTGCAGTAGACTCGGCCTTTTGCAGCTGGCATGGTTCCCATTCAGTCCCTCACCACCATCGCTGCATGTTTGCGTGGGGCCATGGGGTGAATACTGCCAATTATGGGTATGCCTTTGCCACTGCAGACACTTGATTGCGCTGACAAAAATATGCTCTCAATTTGGTGTAAAGTGCTTGGGTTGCCAGATGATTTGGCATGTGCATTTGAAACACACAGAATTTTTATTTATTCATAAACTTAAACCCGTGAAGTGTATGTAAGGTTTGTTTTGGAGTTTACAGGTGTACATTCTGTGTATTAGATTTCTACAAACCGCTTCTGGATACTGTGCGTTATTATTAGCCTAGACTGTTTTTAGACCTGGGGGGGGTGTACAATCTAGGTTGGCAGTAAAATTGGTGTGATATTGTCGTGGTGGAAGTCTCATGTACTTCTATTCTATCCGGTCATGGCGATTGCTCGGTCACAGCAGGTGCTCTCCACATCCTTTATCCCTATTGAAGGGATTTACGCTTGAGCACCTGAATGTGTGCACTGCAGCGGTCAATTCGGCTTGGACTGCAGCAGCAGGGAGTGGTTTGCTCATTGGCATTAGAAGATCTAACAGACTGTTGTGGAGGTCATTGGTTGTGACGTGCCTGTTTGTCCCCAGCAGGAACAGAAAGATCTACTGGGGGTAAGTAGTGCAACTTGCAAATGGTGCTTTGTTTGAGTGTGACTGATGAACCGTAGACTGTCTCTGTGCGCCAACTTGGATAAGCCCAGTGTTGCGTCACACCTATAGTAATGGTAGTAAATGTCATGTCACCCTGACAGCAATGCCATCATTACTGCTAATTATTGCACGGGCATGTTTTCACAGATAAGGAAATTGTTCAGGAAGACTGACAGAGAGCATGTTACAACGAGAGTATTTTTCAAAGGTAGAAGGGATTGGCGGGGATTAATAGCTGTCGGCTCTAAAGTTAGCCCTGTGTCAGGGTTACTACGGCTGCTGTTGGCTTGTGGTAGCTGCTCACTTGCTGTCCTGGGGTCAGACACGCTATCTATGTCTCTTCAGTCTGCCATTCTTTCAATTATGTAATCTTGTCTTTCCGTAACAGCCAGGAGTTGGCACGCACATGGTGAAGGATAGTCACTATAACCTGATTTTCAAAAGGGCTCTATAAATAGCCCTCACCTGAGGATACAGGCAATAAGGTTGAGTTGCCTGAGGATGAAGTTTCATTGAAGTGACAAAGATACAGGCTGTGACTTGTTCGCTAATCAAACTTGACCCCCGTGACGGTAATGAAAAGACGATCAGCAAATTTGTGGGGGTTGCACATTTCATATCTGGAAAATGTGCTGAGGGTAAACAGACATACCATAAAACAATCCGTTGCGGTTACTTGCACTTCCTGAAAACACCATTTATTGCCTGTTTTTGTACCGCCATTGACTGAATGCTGACTCCTCGCTCACTACTCTTAACAGGCCCTTTAGCAGTAGGAGCCGCTAGTTTTAACAATGCTGAGTGCGCTTCCTGTTAGTGTTTTGGACGATTGGTTTGGCTAATAGCTAACGAAACTACCCAATTCAATCAAACAATACAGCAGTGGTCTTTGCAGACACACCTGGCAGAGATCTACTCTTTTTGTTATGCATCTGATTTGTAGTCCGTGTATGTCGAGTAGCAAAACGACTTGTAAGGGGATTTGCCTAAAACTGTCAACCTTTCCCTCCAATGTGCATCCCCTTTCAGTTTTGCAATTGCAACTGTCAGTGTTGCGTTGTCTGTAGTATTGCATTAAACTGAAGTTGTGGTAACTATATTAGTCATTGGTTTAGAAATATATTTAACCAAATGGCCACCATTAGCATGTCTAGATAGTTCAGTGTCTCTTGCTACTTTTTTAAATGAAATAGATTAGTCAATGCCCTATAAGTTACTAAAGCACAAACATTATTAATGATAGACATATGCAACAGGCTGGGATAACAGCATATGCTCACATCTAACCAGCAACAGACTGATATTTTTAATGAATAAAATACTCAAAACAATTGAATATTGGCCCTCAGCCCCTCACTAATAAATAATGAATGAATAAAACAGGAAATGATTTAAAGAAAACAACACAGCAGTCTACTACAGTTACTGTGGATATTTCAGCCTCTTTCCCCCCTCTGCAGTCTTTCCCAGTGGTTCAGCCCACTCGGATGTCTGCCCTCAGCCTCTCCACGACTGTGTGTTGCAGTAGTGGGATGTGACTGAGCTCACGTAGAGCGCTGCTCTGCCTGTTACATCATCAGCCAATAGCTCCAGCCTGCTGGTATAGTGGCTCTGCCTGGAATTCCCCACCATGATGCATTTGTGATTATATGATTAAGATGTGATGAGTCAGTCGTACTCTATCTATCATAGACTTGGAGGCCGTCATGAACGTGTCTTCAGTTACACCAGCAACACGTGCAGCGTCAATTGAATATTTGCCTTTTTTTTTTGTCTATTTTCCAGCTCTTCTTTATGAATACAACATCAGCCTTTGCTGCCTGTTCTAGATGTTAATAAGTAGCCACTTCCTGCTTAGGGTCAGTAATTCATTACAGGTCTGTGTAGAGGGGATTGGAAAAGCATGAGGATTTTCCCCTTGAAGTGATATCAGTTTGTTATCCTGTTGCTCTGCCAAAGAAGCAACCAGTGAGTGTTCTTTGTTGAAGTGCACTTCAATGTATAATTTAAACGAAGGGAACTTAATCTCTCCACGGGGAGGTTTGGACAGTGGCCTGAGTTTGTGGTTGGCAGGGAGTCATTATATTTTTGAAGTGACTGAGTAAAATATACATAGGGCTATTGGTATCTTCTATCAACTACTTTGACATCTCTCCTATTATATTTCCTCTATTTTATGAATGTTTTATATTCATTACTGGTGGACAGTGTGCACATCCAACCAGACGTGGGTACAGGTGCATCATCAGAGTATTGCAGTTGAAAATGTAGCATTTATTATTGTCTTCACAAGTCATTAAAATACTTTCCATAATGCTGTATACCTGCTAGTTTTAGATCCCAGTTTCTGTAAATAATTACAATTTGTGACCGCTTAAATCTGTCGTATCACCAGATTGACCACTCAACAAAGCATTTCAGCTTTATTCAGCTGGGCTGTAGTCATATAATTACAACAACTAGAGCCATAGTATAAGCAACATTCATTATAGAGTAACCATGCTACACCCTGCTCAAACACACCTACCATTAACAGATTGTACAATATGGTGGCGCAACTCCATAAGCTATACTACTCTGCTCTCTGTGGTGGCAGTGCAGATGTTCTAACCTAACATTTCCCCTAGCATTTCAGGTCAACAGTCATGCGTCTGTTGTCCAATTGTGAACAACTGGAGCCTCACTGAAAAGGTTTTTTTCCCCTCATTTATCATGAGCATACATTTAGTCACAATGTTGGTTGTGCAACCTGAAAAGCAAATGGTAGCTCAAGAAAAGTCTTGTGCAAGATAGCTCACAACAGCCTTTTTTGTTAAAGTATTGCAGTGGCTATATTTCATAAGCCCAATCTTGGTCTTTATTCTCCTTTAGTCTTGGGGGCTGATGTTGGTGGAAAATGGATATGCTGGCGGTGAATAACAACCGTTTGTAGTCCTTGTTGTACGTCAGTAATCAACATGATCAATTGATTCCCACTGGGACTTCTCCTTTCCTTTTGATATTCACTATCACAAGGTTAGCCACACAGCACCATTGGGTACAGGATGTTGCTGAGTACACTCAAAATGGCAGACACCGTGCCATTACTTGCTGGCCAGTGTGACCTCAGTGTGAAAAATAGTCCTCACCCTAGATCTCTGTCCATTCAGACATACATGAATACAACCACAGTGCAAGACTCGGAGAGAGTGGGATTCAGTGTGTACCTGATAACTTTTGAAAAGATTTCAGGAATCCTGGACCAACAGTGGTAAACCGAAAAAAGCTGTCAGTTGCTGTGTCCTCTATATTTACTTTTTTTTGTCTCCTATTTTCTTTTTCTCCAGGACTTCTCCAGTGATCGCTATGCCTCAGTTAAAGTCTCCAGACATGGGCTCTGCCTTCATCCAGACACAGCAGCTCAACGCTTCCATGGCTGACACCTTCCTCGAACACTTGTGCCTGCTGGACATCGACTCCGAGCCCACCACCGCACGCAATACCGGCATCATCTGCACCATCGGTTGGTCAACATTTAGTTGTATTACAATTGTTAACATCTAATAGTAAATGTAACATTTTAAAATGTATGCTGTCTCTTTGTCCTTTCCTTTCAATACCTGCCTGCAGGGCCAGCATCTCGTTCTGTGGAAATGCTGCAGGAGATGATCAAGTCTGGAATGAACATTGCTCGCATGAACTTTTCCCATGGCACACATGAGGTGGGTCTTTGCACAATTCTGTCTACTCTGTAAATGTGTTTGTCAGGTGCAGCCAACCAATTGTTAAAAGTCACGTTTGTCTTGTGTAGCCTTTTTTTTTTTTTTTTTTTTTTTTTTTTTTTTTTTTTTTTTTTTTTTTCTTCTCTCTCTCTCCTCCCTTCCCCCCCAAGCAGTGTTTGTAACTCTTTTCATGAGATAGCTATGGTGACGGGGTCAACAATGCTCACGGGGAAAAAGCACGTTAATCATTTTAAACTACTGCAATCAGATTGGCACGTTGAGCTAGACTTGGCCAACCAGCATGACTGAAAAAAAAAAATAGTCTTTGTGTCACACAAGGGCAAATGCTCTGTAAAGTTAATACTTTTAAGATTCCGTAATCAGTCAAATGTCCGTCTTCACTATATCTGTTAAAAACAGACAAACAAGAGAATTGGCTAATTAATCTTATCTGTCAGCACTAGTTCTCATCAAAAAGCCTGAGTTATAATGTCACGCTAATGGCTTGTCTAATGAAAAACACAACTCGGATCTATGAATCAGTTCATTGGTCAGGCAAACTGAAGAAAGCAATGCTCAGATGAGTTGCATTTATGCCCCAACCCAGTTCCAATCTCGCTGACAACCTGACTCCACCCTCCAGGTTCCTGCAGGGAGAACTAGATGGTAATGTTTTTCAACAGATTATCCAATCTAATTAGAGAACTATCCACATGGGATAGGTGGGGCTTTTCTCATAGTGTCCGTTTAATCTGATGTTACCGTGTAGATTAAGACTCTGCAAGATGCACACTGCACTGGACTGTCGGATGTTATGCTTAAATTCCTCACTTTGTTTAGTTTATTTTGCATGAGCCGAGAACTTATAAAGAACACTATGCAAGTAGCAAAACAGTGGAACATTGAACTAGAGCTGTACCGAATAGTTCAAAGCTTCATTCAAAACGTAAACGTTCAAATTATTTTTAATAACTCACAGAAGCATTGCGTGCAGTCTACTCTCTCGCTCTCTAAGTCAAAACAAATTGTAGAAGCTTAGTAAATAAATTGCATTCGATACAGCCCTATATTGTCAGCACACTGTCACACTGACAGCTGTTGTTGCTGCATGCAGCACCTGTGTGGGTTTCTGGACTATTTGTCATCATTTTGTGTAAACGGATTTCCAATTAATAAATGTATTTACATTTGCATAAACCAAGCATTTTTGTCCACTCCCATGTTGATAAGAGTACTAAATACTTTTAAGGTTCATTTTTTTTTTTTTTTTTTTAACAGGTAAAAAAAATTGCAATTAACTATGGACAAACATGCAATTTATTGCGATTAAATATTTTAATTGCTTAACAGCCCTAGTAGATGGATAAAAATGGATTCAGTCAAAAGGTTTTAACTGTCCATGCTGTGTGAGTGAAAGGTTAGTCTTGATTTGGAGAATATCAAAATAAATCGGAACTTTGTTGGCTTAGGGTGCTATATGTGTGTGTGTGTGTGTGTGTGTGTGTGTGTGTATATATATATATGTATCTGTAGCTTCCTGCCCTTTATCTCCTCAGCTGGCTGCGTGCCTAGACTCTGTCATTAAGTGTGTACAACAACCAACACCAAGGTCACTATACTTTAGAGTGTAAAGTATATTATGTTGCAAGTCCCATTTCTTAAAACCAGTTAAAGGTGCAGTGTGTAGGATCTGGCGACATCTAGTGGTGAGGTTGCAACTTCCAACCAACTGAAATTTCTCCTTATGTGTCGAGCGTGTAGGACAACTACAGTGGTCTAATTTTGGATTAGTCTTTTTTTTTTTTTTTTTTGTTGTTTTTGCAGTTGGTGAGACCATCCAGGCTTTCTTTTAGTCACAGTGCAGTGACTACAGTGTTGGCTCAATGTATCGCCATTGTGAAAGGCAGCCAATGCATTCACCTGCCGCTTAAGTTATTACTGAAAACTCTGGTTACCCAGGTGGGAAGTTTAAGCCGTGTGTTGCTTTGAAGACGGCTCTCTGCTGGAAACACTGTGCTGCATGTTCATTAGCCTGCATGAATGGGCCGGGAAGGCTCAAACGGTAATGTGCATTTTAGGGTTAAGGCCGGCCACCAGATTCTGTTGATGCAGGGAACAAGATCCGACCACATGAGTAATGATTTTACACAAGTCGGTTTCCATTTCAAATTGGGGTAGGATCTGGATTGCTGGGTTTTCAACACCAATTTCACAGAGGAATTTCCTCCTGAGAAACCCTGCACATACTCTCAATACAACTTGAGGCAAAAGACATTGCAAGCCACATTCTATATCTATAATGCTAATTTAAGTGATACTGTATGACATGTAATTTTGGTCTTCAATGGCATTACTTACTGACGCTGAATTTGCAAGGCATTTTATCTTAAAGTCTATCGGGTATTGTGGTTAGTGCACTCAGACTCCAGAGTTACACTTAACATGCCAGTGAAGGTGGTAGAAAGAACCTTATGACCCTGCAGTGATGCTGACAGTATAACTCATGTTTATTACTGGGGGAGTTGTTGTTTTTTTTTTTTTTTTTTGTTTTTTTTTTTGTTTTGGTTTTTTTTGTTTTTTTTTTACGTCTTTTGAATAAAACTTATATGTTGCATCTCTAATGCCAGTGCCTCTGCATAATTGTGATTTAATTTCAATGTATAGAATCAGAAGATTGGTTAGAAATATAGGTCTTGCTTAATGTTTCCTCTGGAGGTATTTCAACACGTGTTATGCTTCTCTTCCCTTTATGTAGTACCATGCAGACACCATCAAGAATATGCGTAAGGCATGCGAGAGCTTCGAGCCTGGCAGTATCCAGTACAGGCCCATCGGCATTGCCCTGGACACCAAAGGCCCAGAGATCAGGACTGGCCTCATCCAGGGAGTGAGTTTAGCATTACCTAGTAGTCTTCACAATGGCTTTATTAGCTGTTGACAATCAAGAACATTTTGCATGAAAACGAAGCAAAAAGAAAGCAAAATGATGTCTGTTAATGATTTGACAGAGTGGCACTGCTGAGGTGGAGCTGAAGAAGGGCAACATGATCAAGATAACCTTGGACGATAGCTATCAGGAGAACTGCAGTGAGGAGATCCTCTGGCTGGACTACAAGAACATTCCCAACGTAGTCGAGATTGGCAGCAAGATCTACATTGATGACGGACTCATGTCCCTTCAGGTCAAGGAGATTGGTGAGGAGTGGCAAACAAACAGAATCTCTTGTAATCCATTAGAATGTTTAGAATACCCAATTAAAGGCTCAACCCATTCACGTTTTATTGTTTCTCCAGGTTCTGATTTCCTCATGTGCGAGATTGAGAACGGTGGCACCCTGGGCAGCAAGAAGGGAGTGAACCTCCCCGGTGCTGCTGTGGACCTGCCTGCTGTTTCAGAAAAGGACATCCAGGACTTGCAGTTTGGTGTGGAGCATGGAGTCGACATGGTCTTCGCCTCCTTTATCCGCAAAGCAGCAGACGTGCATGCTGTCAGAGCAGTGCTGGGAGAGAAGGGCAAAGACATTAAGATCATCAGCAAGCTGGAGAACCACGAGGGTGTATGCAGGTGTGTGGATGAAGTGTTTTCATCTGTTTTACTGGTGTGGTCAAGTAATTCAGATCTTTTGTTTGCATCATGATATACTTGTTCTGAATATATTTTATTTATTCCATGGTTGGCTGTGTTTTATGAACCCGTGTCTTTCACATGGCATTTGAAACTTTTAGAATCTTATGATCATTTTCAGATTACTGTTAAATGACTCATTTTCTGTCTCCTGTGCAGATTTGATGAGATCATGGAGGCCAGCGATGGCATCATGGTGGCCCGTGGAGACTTGGGAATTGAGATCCCCACAGAAAAGGTCTTCCTCGCCCAGAAGATGATGATCGGTCGCTGCAACAGAGCTGGCAAGCCGATCACATGTGCCACGCAGGTTAGATAAAAGCAAAGGACGTGCTGTATATCTTCAGCTATATTATCCCCAGGAGCTAAGATTAGCCACTTATGCGTTAATATCTGCACTTATGTGAATGTGAAGGAGGGCTTTCTAAAACATAATGCTAGCATTCATTTTGTTTGTCTCACTCAAAAGGCTGTTATTTTTGCGATCTATGCATGTTACCTTCTAACACATCCTATGAACACCATTCAGATGTTGGAGAGCATGATCAAGAAGCCCAGACCCACACGTGCTGAGGGCAGCGACGTGGCCAACGCCGTGTTGGACGGAGCCGACTGCATCATGCTGAGCGGAGAGACTGCCAAGGGAGATTATCCTCTGGAGGCAGTACGCACACAGCACATGGTGAGTCTGTGTGTGTGTGTGTGTGTGTGTGTGTGTGTGTGTGTGTGTGTGTGTGTGTGTGTGTATATGTGTATATATATATCTATCTATCTATCTATCTATCTAAGCATAAAAGTTATCATTTTAAAATGTCAGGATTTTATGGGATGATCTTGCATGTCTCTTCTAACAGCATGCTCTAGGAAAGGGAAACTGCTCTTTCTTGTTTCCTAATTTTTGTGTTCTCCTGAACACTTCTATTACTTCTCAGCATCTCTTTTTCCACTTGGCCTAATAGCTGCTAAAGAAGGTGTCAGCAGAACTGTTAGGTCAAATGGAAGTGCATCATATTTTTTCCATACACTTATTTTCAGTTTAGACATTTACTGCCTTTTAGGTATGCTAATGAATAATCAATCAATGAACAATCATTAAATATTTGATCACTTAACGATAATTGTAATAACGGGAGTCAAATTTCACAACGCTTTCTCACCATTTCTTAATTTGTCATGGTATCCCCAAACTGATCCACCCAGTTTTTGTCAACGAGGACTTGCAGTGCCCATATGAGTCACCCTAAACTACATAGGTATACTGCTGTTCTTAAATAACAATAAGGCTGGTGCAGAGGCAGCAGCAACATCAGCTTTGAGTGATGGCAAAATCAAATCATGCACATAGAGGTAATGCATTTATTGTGGAACATTTGTGCTGTCTGTATTTTATAAAATTAACCAATTGTTGGTTATTAACAAGGCTGATGGATTTTGAAAATTGCTTAAAATTGTGTCTAATACCTACGTTTGTATTTATTTTCAGTCAGGGACAGACACTATTGTCAAAAATTATCAAAATCACAATTGGTATCAGTTGCGTGGATGGACAATGCACTAATTGCTCTTGTTCAGGCCTTTCTTGGCTAACCGTCACTGTTCTCGGCTACACTGTTTGCACTGCTATGCAGATGCAGAAGTGACTCAGCAGTACTGCAGTGCCTGCCTTTGAGCTTGCTGCCCTTATGTTAAATTAGCATATTGTATACAAAGACTGTCGCTGACCTAAAAGCTTATATTAGGAATATTTTATATTCTCTTAACATCTCGTAGACTAATAACTCTTGTGTTCTTCTCCTTTACTTCAATCTTTTACATGTTTTTCTTACTCATTTCTCCTTTTTTACAATTTCTTCACATTTAGTTGTCTTGAATTTGTTTTTTAATTCATTTATTTAATTGATTAAGCTTGGCTCTGTCATTTTGGTACTTTGTTTTTTATCTTTATGTTAAATATTCCTTGTGGTTCTCAGCAGCCCAGTTGCCTTTACTCTAGATTAGCACAATTTATATATATATTTTTTTTTTTTTTAAATACCTCATGTTAACGTTTGTGGTGAAATCTTGACTCCTGGATATGTTGTTTCCTTGTCTCCCCCCCCCACTAAGTGTACACCTAAACTCTTCTATGCATTGTTCCTTTCCTTCTGTCTCTTCTCTTCTTTACTTTAACTTGGGTTCTTTTTGTGTGCCTCTAACATTGTCTCTCTCTCTCTCTCTCGTGTGTTCCTTTCCTGTTTTCCTCATTTTACATCGGTGTGTGTGTGCCTGGTGTGGGAATGCCTTTGCTTGATGCATCTTGCCCTCACTTGTGCCAGATTGCCCGTGAAGCCGAGGCAGCCATGTTCCACCGGCAGGTGTTTGAGGACCTGCGTCGCTCCACGCCGTACTGCAAAGACCCCGCTGAGGCTATTGCGATCGGCGCTGTTGAGGCCTCTTTTAAGAGCTTAGCCTCTGCGATGATTGTGCTCACTGGCTCTGGAAGGTAGGCAGGTTATCTGGTCCTAGCAGGTCGGGGAGGATTATAATACCGGTGCTTAAGGAGTCTGAGAGAGAGAGAGAGTAGGGCCAGACAGGGACTGACTGATGTAACTGGGAGAGCCTGGCAAACACCTAGTAGACTGCTGTTTTTTTTCTTTACCCATGTGGACAAGTGGTCTTCAAAGCCCTGCAGTTTAAAGGCTCAAATTAACCCAAAACTTTGATTATCATTAAAGCAACAACTAAAGTTTAACCATGAGTCTAGCTACGCATTTGCCAGTCACTGTCGGTGGTGTGAATGACTCGGCGTGCAGTAGTGGGTGATCTGTGAGTAACCCCACCACCCCACCCTTCCCTCATGGTCCCTCTGGGCTCAGATAGCACGAGAGGCCGAGGCGGCCACCTTCCACAGACAGCTGTTTGAGGAGCTGAGGAGACACTCCCACCTGACCAGAGACCCCTCAGAGGTGGTAGCTGTTGGTGCCGTTGAGTCTGCCTTCAAATGCTGCGCTAGTGCCATCATTGTTCTCACTAAGACTGGAAGGTAAGATAGACAAGGGTAGAGGTGAAGTGATTCTGGTCCTGAAGGTAAGGTGTCGTCAACACAGCTCCTGATTCTCCCTCCAACACCTAATGTGCTCTTGCAGATCCCCTCTCCATTGATTGTGTGTGGGTGTCTGAATTGCGTTACAAAGGGTGGGTGGAGACAGCAACAGATATCAAGAGTGGGGATAATCATTAGCCCAGTCCCAATGTCCATCCTTCACATACTTTATTTAATATCACAAGAGATGTAGTCAAATTGAGTGCTACTACACAGCTTCATATAGTATATTAAATATTATCCAACTAGAAATGATTAATGGAAATCATTAGTTTTACACAGTACAGTAACATACATGGATACTTGTTGCAAGCTGTCATTCTTGTTTGCCCGCTGCAGTGACTTTAAGCCTCTGCACACGCAACATACACGAGAAGCTTTCCTGTTAGTTGTCTTGCACCTGTTTGGGCAGGACAGCTCGGTATGTTTGTCATGATTAAGTTAATGAAGTCTGAGCTCGGCTAACATTTAGTTTACAGGAGTACTGCTGGATTTAGTAGCTGCCGTATGTGGGGTTCAGGGATTTTAATCGCACTGAATTGCTTCCTCCAAGAATCCATCTGAGAATTATATACAATATCGATCCAAATTCTGCCTTTTGAATATATCTTGTGAATAATAACATAATGCCGTAGTAACTGAGCCTCTTACTGACTTTTAAAAGTAAAGATATTTTGTACACAGTTGAAGTAAGCATTACCTAGTATTTTTGCATCGAACTTGTTCATCTGTTTCCCTCCCGAATCATCATAGTTATTTAGTTATACTGTTGCAATCATGAAAGGAAAATGTGAGTGAGGTGAGGTAAACGTTCTGTGTATTCGCAGGTCCGCCCACCTGATCTCCAGATACAGGCCACGTGCTCCCATCCTTGCTGTGACTCGTAACGCCCAGACGGCTCGCCAAGCCCACCTGTACCGCGGCATTTTCCCCGTCCTCTACACCAAGCCCGCCCACGATGTGTGGGCAGAGGACGTCGACATGCGCGTCAACTTTGCCATGGATATGGGTTCGTATCTACTCTGTCACCTTTTAGTGTTTTATACTTAATAGAAGAAAAAGTGTACATTTAACATGTTTATGTTTAATTTCCAGGCAAGGCCCGAGGCTTCTTCAAAGCGGGAGATGTTGTCATCGTCTTGACCGGCTGGCGCCCAGGCTCTGGTTACACCAACACCATGCGTGTGGTTCTGGTGCCTTGAACAGCCCACAGGGCTGCTCTACTTTCTCCCTCCACCTTCATCTATCTTTCATAGCTCTCCACGCCATTCCAGCTCACAGCCCTTCTCATCGAACACCTGGGCTCACAGACTCAACCGCTGAACAATTAATCGTTTAGGCAATAATGCAAATTAGAGTACAGCCCTCATGACCAGAGGGCTGTTTCCGGTGGGTATGGGGGTTTGATTCGTTCAATTCCACTTTATTTCTCCATTCCTTTCACATTATTTCAATCAAACCAGTCTGCAGGGCCTCAGATTAAAACAACCTGACCAGAAACTGCTGTATTTATTCACTCAAACACTTGTATTATTAAAGGTGAACCAGTGTGAGAGTGAATGCATCCTGGTCGGTGTGCATGCGCATACTGGCTCTTGTTCAGGTGGAGTTGGTGGGTTGGTCAGGCTGATCTTAAAAGAGCACCTTGACTACTGCAGTTTACTAATCGCGCTCCTCTGCCGATATTACGAACAAATTTGTGGCATCCTAATTCGAAGGGCTCCTCCTACAGATCTGCACTGGCTCCACCACTCCACCCAAACAGATCCCTTTGTAGTGGTGTCCGCTCTTAATGCCAGCTATCGCTGTATCCAAGTGTGTCTGTAAGTGCACTCCTAATCTCCTCCAGACGATGTTACATTTGATATTATACTTGACTTTTGTGAGTGGTGGGGTTTTGTTTTGGGACATCCAATACTACTTCTATTTTGTCTGAATATATAGAGAGAAATGTTAGTTTTGGATGTCCACCTCAGAGGTGTTACTGTATTTGTGATTAGATGTGTTATAAAGCCTTTATTTGTATTCGGCTCATATCTAAGTTCGCACTTATAACTAATGTATAGTTCACTAACGTCGACTAATATGAATATGCACTTTGAGTTTTTGTCATTGGGGACCTAGTGGTGGGTTGACTTCCTTTCCCTCTCAACTCCAATGGGTGGTGGGTGGAACCACCTCTGCTTCTCTTTTTGTTGGTGACCCACTGTAGTTGTCTTCATGTGTCTAACATGCTTTTGATTGTAATGCTAGAGTGTAAGAAATGTTTAGCTGGTGTACTGAGCTATCCTAAAAGACTGAGTTTCCATCAATAAAAAATATGAGCACCTACCTTGTCTTTGCCTTTTTAAAAATTTTTTTTTTTTTTTTCCTTCAGGTGAAAAACTCAAGTCACTGAATGTTTTATAAATGCTCAAAGGTTTGATAGTGCTTTAATGTGTGGGTAGACCTAAGACATCCAGTGAGTAGGTTTGATGAACTAAAGAGCTTGCAAATACTGGCGTGTCACACATCTTTATCAAAACACATGAGCCATATTAAAGCTAATCGTTGCCAGACAAAAGAGGAAGTTTCGCTTTCTTAGTCAATATGATCCAAACTGATCATGTACTAATGTTAAGTCCAGTTGGAACATAAAGAACCATTCATGCTCGATAACAAACGTGTTCTATTCAACAAGGGGATTTTTTTCAGCTTAATGTTTATTACTGGCTGTCCTGGCTGTACACCACCCCCACCTGCCTGCGAATCTCGTCCTCCACCTCAGCCAGCAGAATAGAGTCAGCATGGGAGATAACTGCACTCTCCTTTAGCCCTACATGGGAAAATCATACTGTAAGAACATTACTGTACTGAACTGTACTGTTTAGTCTGCAGGTAGAAATGTAGTAAATGGCCATTAAGATTTTAGTGTTTCTGACGCCATCTTGTGTTGAAAGGATGTATAACAAGGTATGCTTAACATGATAATGAATCACCTACTGATGCTTGTAGTTATTTCTTTTAATACAACTCATTCTTATCGTGATATAGATGCAGACTAAAATATGCTGGGTGTCAAAGTACCTTTGAGCAAACACTGTCGAACCTCCTCTGCTTCGTAACGCATACCTGTGCTGTTGAGGAAGTTTAGAGGCAGACAGGGATCTGGCACTGGGTACTGGGTCTCCTTCCCGTTCACTTCTAATGATGTGGGGCACCACATATGGGCAGGGATCTAAAAAGCATGGAACAGGATATTTAACAGCAGGCACTGGTTTGGCATTTCAGACTATCTGAACTGTATTTGATTATGCAACCCTTCTGTGATGACCTACCCTGATGATGCCTTTTGTCCCCACAATTATGGCATCGTTGGACAGCTCTACACGCGAAGAGCAAGTAAACACTGCCAACCTGTTCTTGGAGAACTTCAGAGTGACAACGACAGTCTCGTCCACTCCTGCAACAACATGCAGATATATAATTTGCATTTGATGAAGTGATAAAACAAATTATGTACATTTTGTGACATGGTTTTAAAAAAGTGCAACATAGATTACTGTTGCAGCGTATCCAAATGCGTCCTCTGCAAACATAATGTTGACTCAGTTAATTTGACTGTGCTATATAGTGAAAAAGAATCATATCGTACATTTTATTGTGGCAGATAAGACCCAAGAGATGAAGTTTTTTCAGACAGGAACACTCCCATGGTTAACTATTCTCTATTTATATACAGTATAAAATCATACTGGCAAAGATTTTACAAGCTCCACCTTAAAAACTCCCATTTATTATTATATGAGGGGCTTCAAATGAATATATATTGCTGAGCAACAATCCTGCCACGGTCAAACTGTGATTGATGTGTTTAAAGCGAGAAGAGAAAGCAGGATTGAGGAGGACGACTTGGCCACTACAACAGGCTTTTTTTTTGTCATATCACTCATATCATATGAACAAATATTTAGTTTTTTTGGTAAATGAATGAGCTATTTTTTTAACACTTCCCCAGATGTTAATAAAGCGACAGAGCTTCAGCAATCATATAATTGCATCTTGCGATCTTACTGTTCTCTTTGTCGTTACCTGTCTCCGTGCAGACACCTGTGGCCTGGATGCACTCTGGCTTTTCTCCATTGTACACCATGCATATGAACTGCAAGCAGTAGACACCAATATCTAGCATTGCTCCTCCGCCCAGCTCCTTCTGCGAAGATCTCGGCAAGTGGATCACCGGCAAGCCAAACTCGGATCTTACCATCTTGACCTCTCCTACCTCCCCCTGGGCCAGCAGCCGTTTGATCTCCACTGAGGCCGGGAAGAATCGGGTCCAGACGGCCTAAAGCAAAGAGCAGGAGGTGGTTTCTACAGTTGCATTCTAGTTGCTTGGTGTTATGTTATGCAGGTGTTGATTTACACTAAAGCTCAAACATCCCAGCTTAAAATAACTTTAAATTATTAGAAAGGGTTTGCAAGCTCATTTAGTTATCACATGTCATTTTTTAACTCGAGACATCCCGACCCCTAAATTATTTTGCTGGTGAAAAGCGGAGAACGAGAAATTAAAGCTGTGAAGATGTTTTCCATGCGTACCTCCATGAGGAAGACGTCGTTCCTCTTGGCAGAGGTCAGGATCTCCTTCACCTCCTTGGTGTTCATGGCCAGTGGCTTCTCACACAGCACATTCTTCTTGGCATTCGTAAAGAGCAGACAAGTGGTCAGATGGTAGGGGTGGATAACTCCAACATACACCGCATCTGCACACACACACACACACACACACACAAACCAGAGAGTATGTAGCAGGAGAAATGGTTCTGTCTGTCAAATTCCATGTAACAGTACATTTTCCACAGGAAATGAAAACAGCTGTAAAGGTTGAAGCTATACTGCATTGTTAAGTTTTAGCTCCCACTGAAATGTCCTGAAACAGCAAATCCCTTACATCAGGTGCTAAAGTGCAAAGAACCATAATCTTTTATGACCAAGGTCTGACAGAAACCAACCTATATCTGGATCTCTGGCCAGCTCCTCATAGCTGCCGTATGCCCGGGAGACGCTATGCTTTTTGGCAAACTCCTGTGCATCCTCTAATTTGCGAGCTGCCACAGCCACAACCTGTAAATACAGTTTCATAATATTAACTATTAACAACACAGTGCGTCTGTTCCAGTCTGTATAGAGGACTCAGGATTGCCACATAATCATCACTTTTGCTGATAGCTTTTGCCTTAATGTAATTATTGATGAAAAAAAAGTACCGTAATTCTTAGGCTATCGAGTGCAAAGAAATGTAGTGCTTAATTTACGGTAGCCTACAAAGAAAGTGTGCCAAAGTGTTCAAAATGCTGCAAACAGTAGCTTGCATTGTACTTAAACTCACTGGTGTCCAGTGTCGATGGCATTTAGCTCGTTAAAGCTGCTGGTTGCAAATCTATAACATTTCATTGCGGCCTGATTTTAACAAGGTGAACTGTGGATAGTCGCAAACAGTATACAGTCTAATCCTCGCCGAGTCCTGAGGAGACGTCTTGCATTTGAAACCAGAGATGTATTTGTGTCTGAATCTATTCATACTGATACCTGATGTTCTTCAGGAGGAAGAGTTTTCAGGGCTATAGTGAAGTCATGACTGATCTGCCCCGCGCTACAGATTCCCCACCTCGTTGCCATATTGGACACAGACTGTGAGAAGTGGTTCGACGGGAAACTAACACATTGAGTTGATATCAGTGTCACATTACTGCCACACGGTGGAGGCAAAGTATTATTTTTAACTCTGTGACGTTGCACGAAGATATAATGATGGTGATTTGTACAAAAACGCGTATCAAATAAACTACTTTTTAATAGTGTTCTGTTACCTTCTCTTATTTCATCACTGCCCATAGTCAGAGTAGCACTTTTATTTATTATTCATTTTTATGATTGTATTATTTATATCTTCTATTTATAAGCTGACATGTATATAAAGTATAAGTGTATATGTATGTGTGTATGTATATATGTGTGTGTGTTTTTTTAAATTAATGTATTATTATTTATTTATTTTTATTAATTTATTATTATTCATATTTTTTATTCTTTTTTTTTTTTTTTTTATTAGTTCATTTAATGTCTCACTGAGCTTTCTGTTGTTGTTATTGCCTTGTTTTTTCTGCTTTGACTGTCAAAGCACTTTGTGAACTCTGTTTTTAAAGGTGCTATATAAATAAAGTTATTATTATTATTATTATGCACAGGTACATTTTGTTAGCGACTATTTATCATTATATTGCTTGGCATTATATTGAGGCTGAATTGTCTATTTATTTAACCTCTTAACTAAATAAGTAAATGTAATAGAGTGAAGTTGCGGTAAAGAAGCACCATAAAACTGATCAAAAGTGAACATGAATACATTTAATTATTGGACCCCTCCACTTTTCACAGTCCGAAAACTATATTAAAAGGGGGGAAAAGACTGTATATATGGCACGCACTAGGACCACGCGGAAACAGTGCCCGCTCAAGCTTCCAGTCCTATTGCAACATTCCATATCACAAATCTGCCTCAGATGGATTTACCATCTGTACAACATACGATATCCTGTCTTTGGACCCTCACATTGGTTAAGGAAAAACTCCCCCCAAAGAAACTTTAATGGGGGGGGAAGGAAGAAACCACAGGAAGAGCAGTTGAGGAGGGATCCCTCTCCTAGGATGGGCAGAGGTGCAATAGATATCATGTGTACAGACTTAACATAATAAGATTACAACATAGTCAATCCATATGATAGAAACGATACACATGAGAGTAGTAATAGCAGTAGTAGCACTAATATGAGCAGCAAAATGATAACTACTGTTGAAAACAATCATAAAATAGTATGACGAAACAAAATCTATTATATAGTACGTAGAAAAAAATCATAGTGTGTTGAGTCCAAAAAAGTAAAAAGAAATCATGGGAAAAAAAAAACACAGTAAAGTATGTCGGAAAAAGTCATAAATAAGTCATAGCATAGGTTGTTGAAAGAAGTCATTTTAGGTATTGTACCCAAACAACTTGTACTTAACATACAACAGTGTGTTCCAGAGTTTAAATGATGAGGTGCCCAACCATTACCTCTATTTATACACTGATGACGTCAGCGGTGATGTCATAGGTTTAGACCAAGTAGGGGGGGGTAGATTATGTAAAGGTGGGTATTTAGGTTAGTTGTGATCTGTTATGCATGGTTGCAATTGCATAGCATATGGTAAACTATCTGAAAGTGTTTTCTGCCTGAAGTTAAGCCAAATCAACTGTTTTTGTTTATACTATATATTGTTTATATATATTTTTGGTTACATGTGCAGGGCCACTCTTGTAAATAAACACTTTTTGTTTTCAGGAAAAAGTTTCTCCTGTCTGCCTCCTACCACTATCCCAGGTCAGGCTTCCACAGTAGTCCTCCCAGTCCTTTGTTGAAATAGTTAAAAATCAGAATTCAAAATAATCAAATGTGCACGTTCAGTCTCCTTATATTCAGTTTGAAAAGTCAATAAATGAATTATATGCGGCACTTTGTTCTTCTTCTTCTTCTTCTTCTTCTTCTTCTTCTTGGTGTTAGATGAAACTGAAGCATATTAATCTGATCTTTCTGATCTAATTTTTTTTAACCTGTTTTGTCACAGTGTCTATCGGTTGATATCAACAGTGCCACTTTGCTGCCACAAGATGGAGGCACAGTGTTATTTGTATCTCTGTGACGTTGCACAGCAATAATTAATAATAGTGATCATGACACTAATAATACCAGAATAAACCTTTTTTTATATTCAGTTTTGTAATATCTTATATGTTCCTTCTTTCCTGCATGGACTCATGGGCTATTTTATTTATAGTTATTTTTCATCAGATTTTGACTATTAGATCTTTTTACCTTAGTGAAGATGTTTATTTAAAATGTTATGCCCCAAAACAAACAGCCGTCTTTGTTCTAGTAAGAGGTGACAGGTTAAAGTTTTGGCATGGAAACAGCACGACATGTATAGAAATACATTTATAACTTATTTTTTTTATATCAGCAAATTTCAGCATTATCAATTCAACAAGCAAAACAGTTGCCAAAATAACGTTACTGCATTTGCATTCATGGACGGCATCCTGCATCAATGAGACACTGCCCAGTTTTTTGGAGGCCTACAGTATGAGGCCAAAAGGTTGGAAAAAAAGTATTAAATGAGCCATGCTCTTTGCTGACTCATAAAAGGCCATTCTCTCTGTCCTAACCTTGAAAAGCAGGCAGTGCAACCTATTGTTGTATGGAGAGCATGAGTCTATTTGTACACGACTGCAGGGGTCAGACATGAGAAAACACTTTGATTCAAATGTGCCACTCGAAGTCTCTTCTTCTCTCCAGCGGATGATATTTGAAATGAAACAAGGCTTTCACAATCAATCCTTTATTGGATTCATCAATCACACATCCCACAGTGACAGCTGGGGTTGCCTTTCAAGGCCTAGGACTTGATTACAGGACATGGCTGCTCTGTTTGTTACATTGTGATTTATCTGTTTTAAGACATTTTAAACTGACATTTGTAAACTGACAGTGTCAGTGTTTGTCGTGTACTGTATCATAAGGACCTACTAGGTGAATCTGGGGTAGAATGACAGTTTGGAGATCTAACGGGTCTATCAGATGCAACAAAATAAATGGAAAGCACTGATTTGCATGGTCAAATAATTTGCAGATTTTATTTTTAATACATGTGGCCGCTCACTACAGTATGTTATCCAAGTCACATTTGTCTCACTGACACTGCGTCTGCTCGGGCTTTGTCACACACTGTCATGAGTGATCTGCTTATACCAAAGATCCAAAGCCTGCCTCGAGCAGCTCCCTCTGTTCCATCTGAGTAGGTTAAGGTCAGGTGATTTCGGCTTTGGAGTGATGTCACTGGCTGTCCTGGCTGAAGGTAACTCCCACCCGTTTCCTGATTTCATCCATGATCTCTGTCAGTAAGACAGTCTGCCAGAGGCATCCGTGGGCTCTCCTTAAGTCCTGCAGATGAAGAGGAGTTTAATAGGGAAATCAGACTGACTGAAAGACTGTTTATAACCACTGTTTATATGCACGTATTCACAATGAGGCATAAATTATGTCATAGCAGGGATGTAAAGATTATGTAAATTCATAAGAGGCAAAACAAATAGGAGTGTAATACTGTATAAGCTAGAGGACTGATAACAGCATTGATTCTGAACCAATCTGATGAGTTCATTCATGTACTCATCCAAATTTCCTCAAGAAGCTCCAGGAAAGTGACTGTTTCACTGACTTGCAGTGTCGTTCTTTCAAACTGCACCTTACCTTTGAAATGGGGGTTTCGGGCTGTTCAAACAGTTTCACCTCTTTGAAGACAAATATACATATACCTACCTTTAAGCAGGCACTGCCTCACTTCTTCTGCCTCATAGCGAAGCCTAGCGCTGTTGGTGAAATTCAGAGGGAGGCAGTGTTCAGGCAGAGGGTACTTTGTCTCCTTGTCGTTCACCATGAGTGTGGTAGGGCAGTGCATGGGGCCAACGACCTAGAGGGGAAAGAGGACATGCATTTTTGTGTTTATCCAATCACTCAACTCGTAACTCATCAAATGCAGTGGGAATGGATCCTTGACTGAATGCTTCAGTTTAATTAAATGTGAAAATAATTAGCGGTCTAACTCAGTTTTTTGCATGTCTCAGTCCTTTCTTAATTAAGTCAAATGTCCCTGTGCAAGACTACCATAATATGCTTTAATGGAGCCCTCAGTGCCACTGATGACAGCATCGTTCGGAAGTCGAGCAGCAATTGAAAAGGCACAGAAGGCCATTCTGTTCCTGGAGAACTCCATCACCACAATCACTGACTCATCCACTCCTGTCGAACATTTAAAAAGGTACATCATTGAAACACTGGTGAAAAGGAAATGGCTGAATGAATGGAATCACTACTGCTGTTGCTCATCAAAACTAGGTCCAATAAGTTAAATAATATTCAGGATTTACTGGCATGAGGTCACACCATTTGTTTTTGTGTAGCTATTAAATTAAAGTCAAAAATGTTACATGACGATAAGTAAGAGATAAGAAAATGCTCATTACATGTGTAGTGTGATGTGATGGACCTACATTGAAGGATATCATGCTGTGAGACAGTATTCCCCTGTCAGTTTTACTGTATTACTGTATTCTCCGGGGAGGCTTTGGATTAGTCTCACATTTTAAAGATAAGTCTGGGATTTTCTGTGTGAAGAATTCTTCCCTGAGGTGTTTACACTGTGGACAGTTTATTTAAAAAAGTGATTTCTGTCTAAGTTTCTTGTGCATCACAAGAGGGATTCTAATGTTCTTTTTTATGGTTTCATTTGTGATCAGTGATTCATGTAGGGTGGTTAATGATGCTAATCTACATCCCACCTCTGCTGCATGAATCATACCTGAGTCAAGCAGCACCCCTGTGGCCTGGATGGACTCCGGCCTCTCTCCGTTCAGCACCATCAGCACAAATTGCAAGCAGTACACTCCAATATCCAGCAGTGCGCCACCACCCAGCTCCTTCTCCACAGAGCGGGGGATGTGGAGCTGAAGGGAGCCGAAGTAGGCCTTTACCAGCTTAAGCTCGCCTACATGCCTTCTCCGCCAGCAGCCTGCGCACCTCAGC